GGTAAGCAGCAGTAAGAAAACTCTGTCACTGTCTGAACATAGAAGCGGTATTGATGTGATTAGAAGCAGGGGTGTTTGGAAAGGAAGGAAGCAACTCAATTCCTTGGGCCAAATGGATTTAAATGAGCTCACATGGAATTGCCCATGCACTGATCTCTGCTTTGGCAATCCAGTTCATATCATTCCCTCCACGCAGAATAAATATGCTTAATTATTGCCTAATTTTCTCTCAACTGTTCTTTGTAAATATCCAGGGTTAGCTCGTTCTACTTTCCACTCAGATTATTTGTTCACCTGATAATAAAATGGCTAACATTTATTAAGCACTTACCTTGTGCCAGGCATCTTGTTAACAGCTTTTATTTTGGCCAGGTGTAGGGGCTCATGCCTGTAATCCCAGCACTTTAGGAGGCTGAGGCGGGCGGATCACAAGGTCAGGAGTTCGAGACTAGCCTGACCAACACGGTAAAACCCTGTTTCTACTAAAAATACAAAATTAGCTGGGCATGATAGAGCTCGACTGTAATCCCAGCTATTGAGGAGGCTGAGGCAGGAGAATCACTTGAACCAGGGAGGTGGAGGTTGCAGTGAGTCGAGATTGTGCCACTGCCCTCCAGCTGGGTGACAGAGCAAGACTCCATATCAAAAATAAAACAAAAAACAAAACAAAAAGAAAAGAAAAACAACTTTTATTTTATTATTTTTTAATTATTATTATTTGAGATGGAGTCTCACACTGTTGCCCAGGCTGTAGTGCAGTGGCACAATCTCTGTCTCGGCCTCCCAAAGTGCTGGGATTACAGGCTTGAGCCACTGAGCCCGGCCAAGTTTTAAACTTTTTTTTGAGACAGGGTCTCGCTCTGGCACCCAGGCTGGAGTGCAGTGGCACAATCTTGGCTCACTGCAATATCCACCTCCCGGGTTCAAGTGATTCTCGTGCCTCAGCCTCTCGAGTCACTATGATTACAGGTGTGTGCCACTACGCCCAGCTAGTTTTTGTATTTTGTATTTTTAATAGAGTAGTTTTACCTACTCTATTAAAATGTTGGCCAGGCTGGTCTTGAACCCCTGAGCTCAAGCATTCTGCCTGCCTTGGCCTCCCAAAGTTCTGGGATTACAGCCACTGTGCCTGGCCAAGGTAAGTAAGTTTTAAACCCATTTTTTTGAATAAGGAACCAGAGGGAGAGATACATGAATATACCTTACATCGACTTCCTCTTTGGGAAAGGAATTAGTATAGAAGGAACCTGGAAATCTACCAACAACTGATAGTCCTGTATGTAAATAAGCCAGCAAACTTCTGCAGGCCAGGAAATTGCATCATCAGCATTTAGTCTGTTATAGCGAGCCACCTAATTCGAATCTGCAGTAAGGACAGGGACATGAGAAGTACAGATGGTATTTGCAAATACCTCAGGTGTTAACCCTACGCCAGTCATTCCACCTCTCTCAACCTCCCTTTCCTCTACTTTAAAACGCTGCTGTGCAACTTGATCATGTCTCTGAAGAGTTTCGGAAAACTGAATAAATAATGAGCATGAAGTGCTTTGCAAACTTTTAAGGACTTCAAAAAAAAAAATCTTTCAATAACCAACAGATGTAGAACATTTAACTTCTATTTGGCCTACAAGTAAAGGTTACTCCATGCTTCCCTACCTCAAATGTCCTCTCCCATCTCTCTGGTACTGAGAAAATCTGTGTCACCTGTTATAAGGCAGCCTACACAAGACCAACGCGCTAACCCACTGCCACCTCAGGGTTATTAAACATTTCCACACCGGCCCAGCCAAAAATACCCCACAAACCCAGAGAGAAAAACCACCCTTTAAAGATCGGGCCTTGGGTTTTAAATCTGGCCATCCTGTTAACACTATGTATCGACAATCTTTCCTTCAATGATGCCTCGTTCTAATTGTTTTTCACATCCATTAGTGGCACACGACAGGCCCGAGGTTGCTGCCACAGCGTAATGGAAAAGGTGCCTAGAACGTGGGTGTGCAATGCACCGGGCCATATTCTGGTCCCCAGTTTTCATGGGTTCCCTTGGTAGGCTACCCACTGGCTTAGGAGCATTTCTAGCCCTTAGTGGAGTAAAAATATTAGCACCTAACACTCGATTCCCACGTTTAAGATACAATTTAAGGAAAGGCTGAAAAGGCAAACGGTTCCAAATGCCTCCACCAGGCAGCTCCAGGTCCACACCGAGGGGGTCCCTATGGCCCACTCTAGGTATCCCTCCGGGGTGGGACACTCCCCAGCCCACAGCCCCGCTGGCCTCCTCCACGGGGCACCCCTGAACCCGGGAGCCCACGCGGGACACTCCCCGGGTCACAGCCCCGCCGGCCCCACGGAGCACCCCCACCAACCCGGGAGTCCACGCGGGACACTCCCCCGCCCACCGTCCCCCACGGAGCAACCCCGCCAACCAGAGAGTCCACGCGGGACACTCCCCGGGTCACAGCCCCGCCGGCCCCACGAAGCACCCCCACCAACCCGGGAGTCCACGCGGGACACTCCCCGGGTCACAGCCCCGCAGGCCCCACGAAGCACCCCCACCAACCCGGGAGTCCACGCGGGACACTCCCCGGGTCACAGCCCCGCAGGCCCCACGAAGCACCCCCGCCAACCCGGGAGCCCACGCGGGACACTCCCCCGCCCACCGCCCCGACGGCCCCCACGGAGCACCCCCACCAACCCGGGAGTCCACGCGGGACACTCCCCGGGTCACCGCCCCGACGGCCCCCACGGAGCACCCCCGCCAACCCGGGAGCCCACGCGGGACACTTCCCGGGCCACCGCCCCGCCGGCCCCCACGAAGCACCCCCACCAACCCGGGAGTCCACGCGGGACACTCCCCCGCCCACCGCCCCGACGGCCCCCACGGAGCACCCCCGCCAACCCGGGAGCCCACGCGGGACACTCCCCGGCCCACAGCCCCGCCGGCCCCACGGGGCAGGCTCCCTACAGACGGACGCTCCTCTAACCCGGACCCGCCTAGGAGCTGCAGCCGCCTCACGAAGGCCTCAGACGCCGGGCGGGACCATCTCTGGCGGACCTCGGCCTCAGCGCCCTTTCCGCCTGGGCCTCTCGCCTCGGGCCTTCGCCACCCACCCGGAGAGGCCTAGCCCGGCCCCGCGCGCCCAGCCCGCTCCACGTCCTCACCCTCGCTCTCTCGCTCGCCCGCAGCGTCCTCACCGGCCCGGCCCGGCCTCCGCAGTCGCGAGCGGCGGCCTCCACACTCGCGTCGGCGTCGCAGGCTCTCGACTGCCCACAGCAGCCCCCGCGCCCCGCCCTGGACCCCGCCCCCCGCCGCGGACGCGCCGTCGATTGGCCGGAGGGGCTCCAGGGCAGAGTCTCTCCGGCCGGCGGCCTAAACGGGCAAGACCGAGTTCTGATTGGTGAACGGACGAGAAGGGGCGGGACCAGACGGACGTGACATAGACTATAAATCTGTGCAGAGCTCGGCTCGTGAGCGGGCGTCGGCTTGCTGAGCCAGGGAACGTCCTAGGCGAGGCCTAGGCTTGCCGGGCGGGGTCTTGGCTCGTTGGGCGGGGCGTCGGCTGGCCGGGCGGGGCTCCGTCCTGAGCGAGGCCTAGGCTTGCTGGGCGGAGCTAGGTCCTGGGCGGGAAGTCGGCTCGCTGGGCGGGGCTAGACCCTGGGCTCGGGCTCGGCTCGCTGGGCGGGGATTGGCTCACCGGGCGGGGCTCGGGCTACGCTCGCTGGGCGGGGCTTGGTCACCGCCTGGACCTTGGCGGCTCTCCTTGCACTCCGTCCCTGGCCGCCAGCCTCCCCCTTACCCGTACCCATTGCATCCCTCATGGGGCTACACGAATCATGGAATGATTGCGCGAGGGTGTGCTCCGTGGAGGCGGCCAGGACAGCTTTTGCGGTCTCCCTCTCGCCTAAAGACCCCCACCAGAGGATGGAAACCTGACTCGCTGTAGCTTACAAGGGTTGATTCAAGCATGAGTTCAAGACCATACCCAACGTGCCCTCCTAGCCCGGCCCTGGCACCCACTGTCACTGCGCGGCTGTCGAGGAAATAATTAAATCCAGCAAACACCGAGCACTTATGAGACTTCTGTGGTGCTGTGGATTCCAGAGTGAAGCCTGACCCTTCGTTTCCCAAAAGCCCAGGCAGGAGAAAAGTTGGCTGAGGGGAACCTCCGTTTCTCCTGAGGCAACTTTGGGGGGTTCTGAGACCCGGGCACACCAAGAATGGGCTCAGCCCTGTGGCATGCTCCGCCCATGTCACCCACCTCTGGGGCTTTTCCTCTAACCAGCTCCCAGTGACATCACCAGGCCCACAGTGGTGCACACACCCGAACAGAGGACTCTTGCAGACGGGCAGGGCAGGTGGGGATACTGCAGGTGTGAGCCTGTGACCTGAGGCTGATAACTCAGGAACTAGAGAAAGCAAGAGTTTCACTACCCAGGGTCTGTAAGGAGGAAGCTCGGGAAGCACTGACAAGGTGAAAAGGGCCCAGGTGGTCCTGGGATGGTCAGTCCAGTGGGCAGCAAGGCTAGAGGCCTCAGGGTGCAGGTGTCCAGCCACCGGATCGGGTTTAAACGTTCAGGTTTCCAGTTTCCTTTACTCAAGTGGTAGAGCCTACTTAGCCTATCTAGTCTTGAAATGTATAGATTTGAAATTTCTTCTATCTCACTCACTTGAATTTCCAGGAATTTAGTAGTTGCTATGATCAATGCAATCTTTCTTCTCTCACTACATTTTCTAATTAGGAAGCAGGTATCACTGACCTCTTAGTGTTGATTTTCGCCAGATGTCTTGTATTTCTAAGGAGACGTTCTCATCACCTGTCAATTCCTTTCCAATCTTTTTTGCTATCTTTTGGGCTGGGTCTCCAATACAAAGTTGTTCGGTGCTGATGCTATCGATGCAAGTAATTTTCCCTTATTTTATTACCCTATGTTGGCAAAGCTTTGCATTTTCCCAGAAAGCCTCACAACTTTCCCTTGAAAATAACCAAGAGAAATACTCATTCAACATGTAAACAATAGTGCTTTATTGATAAAAGGTTAGTTTAAATGGATACAAAACTGCTGTGTAAAATAAGTGTTTTCAAAATACATTTCTGCAGGTAGAGACTCTCTCTTAGTAAAAGAGCAGGTACCTATTATCAAAAGTATATACTTAGGTTTGGGTAGTACAACAAAAGGGGATCAGAGGTGCGGCAGTATGGGCGCTCCCTCCGGCTGGCCATTACCAGAGTGCCTGAAGTAGGACTTTTGCGCAAACATACACGGGGCTTAAGTTCATCACTTGCAAATGCTTTTTTCTTTCTTTTTTTTTTTTTTTTTTACAGATTTTTCTAGCAAAGTTATTAAATGTCAAAAGCTCAAATAATGGACTCTGCATGGATGTACTCTATAAAGTCATGGAACACTTTTTCTTAGTTACCTTCACACAATAAGCCATAACATACAGCTTTTGGCTATTCGCAAGCAACAGTGAAGGGGCAGTTAGCAAGAGCACCAGATTATTTTCTGTAGCACACCTTCATAACTAATATGTAACTGCCTCTTTATGTTTTCTCTAGCCCCCACAAAAAAAAACAAAAAACCCTGTCTCATCCTCAGATTAAGCATTTTCTCCGTCTTCCTACACAACCATTGTCTCCTTTCATCTGTCACTTTCTGCGGCTGAATTTCCCAACTTCAGTGTAATTGATTAAAAAAAAAAAAAAAAGGCAACCCCTGGAGCGTGCCGCAGGGACACAGGAGGAAAGGTGAGGCTGAGGCCACAGTGCACAGAAAACAGACCAGGTGTGGCTTTGCCTGTGCACACCTGGAGCGTGCAGCAGGGAGACAGGAGGGAGGAAAGGTGAGGCTGAGGCCACAGTGCACAGAAAACAGACCAGGTGTGGCTTCGCCTGTGCACACCTGCCTACTAGCTACACTACAGACTTGAAATGTCTTCCACTTTGACAGGACACATGGTTATTGCACAAAATGAATAAAATGACAATGGCTAAAAACAAATGAGACAGTCTGCACACACAAAAATGATTACTGCTATTTTCCTCCCATCAGAAAATCATGCAAAAAAGGAATATTTAAAGGAAACCCAAATCAGGAAAACCTGGTAGGCATCAGAGATCAGGGGTTCAGGGCACCAAGGCCTTATGATGCGGACACTGTTCAATGGCAAGCCAGGCTCCAGGGGCATGCCCACCGACAGACCCCAATTTCCACAGGGGAGGCAGATCTTCTATATCTACAGTTACAGAAAATACACTAAAGTGCAGTATAAAATACAGAAAGGTTGGATTCTGAATAGGTAAACTGCCAATTTTCCTTAAATTTTTTTTTAATTTTGGTTGAGTTTACCGAATCTCATTTTGTAGGTAAGAATCTTAGTTGTGACTATTTTGATTTTCTCTGTAGCACAGGATAACCAGTATTAGTGGAGATCATGTGGCTTACAGTGAGTTCTCTGCACAGTAGTTTTAAAACGACCTAGCATCTGAATTAAGAGACTTCTTTAAAACTCACCTCTAAAAAAGCAATTTAAGTATAAAGATGGATCTCATTAGGTAATTCTACTGTTTTATTTGGTTAGCAGATAATAAACTCACAGACGAATGCAGTTTGAATTATAGCAGCGAAACTGGCTTTACATGTTGTGTACAGACAGAAAGCAAGAAAGCAGAGTCTCGACACGGTGTGACGTGGTCAGCAACGACCCTGCATCAGGCCAGCGGCCCTTTCTCCATCACCAGGCACACGCCTCTACCACCCAGGAACACAATGGGTCAATCTGAATGTTCTAGATACAAATCAGGAGTGCTCATCATGGTTAGTCAGTTAAATCAAAGAAATTCAGTATTAGCTCTACATGTTGATTCTTGGAAATCAATTCTAACGTTAGTGGTTAGGGAGAAAGAAAAGGAAAAAGGTCACCTCGCAAAATACAGAGTGTAACAGCAATGAAATACATATGTTAAAAGTACTTCATACAAAAAAAATCAAATTTAAAAACATTAAATTCTCAGGCACAGGCACATGCAAATGTGATGGCGCCTCCCACGGATGATGAAACACACGCTGGGTCACGCATCTGGAATGTGTTCTTTTTTACCCAGGAAAGTGTTTTCTGGAAAACAGAAAACAAGATATATGTGAGTGGGAGTGAGGCAATGCTGGCTGTGTTGATCCTTGACAGCTCTCCTTTTCTCCTGGGCATAAACTGAGCAAAAGGTAGGGTTTACATGACCACAGAGTTAAGTAAATCAAAACACTGCTCACTTACGAGGCTCATGGAGACTGGAAATGCTGCAAAACTAAAAAATATACAGAAATAAAATTTTATCTATCTAAAAGCAAAATTTTCATTCCATAAAGTTTGGAAGCCAGAAGCTCAGAGAAAATGAGCAAACAGCTATCACTGCCTCCTGCTTCAAATGAGCTGCCTCCCTGAGGCACCGTCTCTTTCCACTGCACCCTCACTTCCCCAGTCACGTGCCACATCTGCTAATGCAGGACCGGCCTCTACAGTCAGCAGGCCATTGTTTAAAAGTTATATGGTCATCAGCAAATAATTTTGAACTCTTGGAGCCACAACTATTTCCTCATTAGTAAAGTGTGAACTCAAGACACCCTCAGGACTATTCTAAGGTGTCAGAGTAGTGATGAAAGAAAAGCAGCCAACTTGGACCCAGCGGGGGTGACATGGGTGTTTCCTTTACGGTATCTTATTAAACTGCACACATGTATTTTTGTGCATTTTGTGTAAATATTGTATTTTACAATGAGCATCTTTCCCAGTAAGCTGCATGAGGGTTTGGTGACTGAGGCTCCAGCAAGTCACTCTGGGTCCTTCCTCAGCCACCTATCCCCATGCCATGGAGGCCTCTAGACTCCCTGCCTTCTGCCCAACCCTAACCTTGCCATGTGTCGGCGAAGGCTCAAGTCCACTCCCTGTTTTCATGAACACCCTCATGCCTCCAAAATGAGGTGTGTGAATTGTAGTGGAGACCTTCTGTCAAATTCCCAGTGTCTGGTCCTCTTATCTCGAACAACTCAAGCTCTCTTTCAAGCTCCAATCAGATATCTTGTATAAGGTTTGCCTTTACCCCAGAGCTCCATGTGACCTGCCCTCTTCTTTGGACGCTTTTCCTCGAACAAGTGACGGGAGTGGCCAGCTAGACAGCTAAGAGAGCCTGCCTGTCTGTAAGATACAGGGGAGTGGGCATGTGCCTTTTCCTGGTCCTGAGTCTCGGCAGATTTTTTCAAGCAGGCAGACCAGTATACACCATGCCAGACATCGGGACAAAGCTATCTGAGGAACAGGAGGTAAGCAGTCTCCAACCAGGGAATCTGTATCTACCTGGCATAATGCCTTCCTTGTGCCATCTTTACTTTTAATCTGGACAAGCTGTTTCAATAACACAGTTTTATTCCCTTTAAAGAGTTGTTTTAACGATTAACACATTTCCAATAATACAACTAATAAAAGTATTTTAATACATAATTTCCTTCTAATGTTGATTGTATTTGCAAACCTGTAAAATAACCTGCAAATGTAGGCCAAAAATAAAAGTTGAAACTATTAAAAAAAAAAAAAAGAAGAGGTCCCCGGGCAAGATGGCCAAACAGAACAGCTCCGGAGCAGCCCAAGGAAGGCGAGCCGAAGCAGGGTGGGGCGTTGCCTCACCTGGGAAGCACAAGGGGCCTAGAACTCCCTCTCCTATTCAAGCGAAGCCATCAGGGACCGTTTCCTGCACTCTGGCCCAGATATTGTGTTTTTTCCATGGTCTTCACAACCTGCAGACCAGGAGATTTCCTCTGGTACCTACACAACAGAGCCCTGGGTTTGCCGCACAAAACTGGGTGGCCATTTGGGCAAAAACCAAGCTAGTTGCAGCAATTGTTTTTTCATACCCCAGTTTTGTCTCTCTGGTGCCTGGAAAGGGGGCTGAAGCCAGGGAGGCAAGTGGTCTGGCTCAGCGGGTCCCACTGCCATGGAGACCAGTGAGCTAAGACCCACTGGCTTGAAATTCAGGCAGCTAGCACAGCTCTGAGCTTGACCTAGGTGGTTCCAGCTCCGTAGAGGGAGGGGCATTTGCCTTTGCTGAGGCTCCGATAGGCTCCAGTAGGGGTTTGCTTACCCCACAGTGTAAGCAAAGCTGCTGGGAAATCCGAACTGGGTGGAGCCCAACACAGCTCACCAGCTGCAGGCACTATCTTACTAGACGTTCTTGCTGAGCAGAGCATCTCTGAAAAAAGGCAGCAGCCCATCAGGGACTTATAAATAAAGCCCCACCTTCCTGGGACAGAACCCCTGGGAAAAGGGGTGATAATGGGTACAGCTTCAGCAGACCTACCTAAACATCCCTGCCTGGCAGCTCTGAAGAGAGCAGTGGATTTCCCAAAACAGTGTTCGAGCTCTGATAAGGGCTAACTCATTTTATGAGGCCAACATCATCCTGACACCAAAACCTGGCAGACACACAAATAAAAAAGAAAACTTTAGGCCAATATCCCTGATGAACATCAATGTGAAAATCCTCAATAAAATACTGGCAAACCGAATCCAACAGCACATCAAGAAGCTTATCTATCACAGTAAAGTCACCCTCATCCCTGGGATGCAAGGCTGGTTCCACATGTGCAAATCAATAAATGTAATTCACCACATAAACAGAACCAAAGACAAAAACCACGTGATTACCTCAAGAGATGCAGAGAAGGCCTTCAACAAAATTCAACAACATTTCATACACTAAAAACTCTCAATAAACTAGGTACCGATGGAATGTACCTCAAAATGATAAGAGCTATTTATGACAAACCCACAGCCAATATCATACTGAATGGGCAAAAACCGGAAGCATTCCCTTTGAAAACTGGCACAAGACAAGAGTGCCCTCTCTTACCACTCCCATTCAACATAGTATTGGAAGTTCTGGCCAGAGCAATCAGGCAAGAGAAAGAATAAAGGGTATTCAAACAGGAAGGGAGGAAGTCAAATTGTCTCTATTTGCAGATGATATGATTGCATATTTAGAAGACCCCATTGTCTCAGCCCAAAATCTCCTTAAACTATAAACAACTTCAGCAAAGTCTCAGGATACAAAATCAATGTGCAAAAATCACAAGCATTCCTATATACCAATAACAGACAAACAAAGAGCCAAATCATGAGTGAACTCCCATTCACAACTGCTACAAAGAGAATTAAATACCTAAGAATACAACTTCCAAGGGATGTGAAGGACCTCTTCAAGCAGAACTACAAACCACTGCTCAAAGGAGAGGACGCAAACAAATGCTCATGATTAGGAAGAATCAATATGAAAATGGCCATACTGCCCAAAGTAATCTATAGATTCAATGCTATCTCCATCAAGCTACCATTGACTTTCTTCACAGAACTGGAAAAAACCACCTTAAATTGCATATGGAATCAAAAAAGAGCCCACATAGCCAAGACAATTCTAAGCAAAAAAAAAAAAAAAAAAAAAAGTTGGAGGCATCAGGCTACCTAACTTCAACCTATGCTACAAGGCTACAGTAACCAAAGCAGCATGGTACTGCTACCAAAACAGATATATAGGCCAATGCAACACAACAGAGGCCACAGATATAAGGCCACACATCTACAACCATCTGATCTTTGACAAACCTGACAAAAGCAATGGGGAAAGGATTCCCTATTTAATAAATGGTGTTGGGACAAGTGGCTAGCCATATACAGAAAGCTGAAACTGGATCCCTTCCTTACACCTTACAAAAATTAAATCAAGATGGATTAAAGATTTAAACATAAGACCTAAAACCACAAAAATCCTAGAAGAAAACCTAGGTAATACCTTACAGGACATAGGCATGAGCAAAGTCTTCATGACTAAAACACCAAAAGCACTGGCAACAAAAGCCAAAATAGACAAATGGGATCTAATTAAACTAAAGAGCTTCTGCACAGCAAAAGAAACTATCATCAAAGTGAACAGGCCACCTACAGAATGGGAGAAAATTTTTGCAGTCTATCCATCTGACAAAGGGCTCATATCCAGAATCTATAAAGAACCTAAAATTATTGGAAAAAATAACCCCATCAAAAAGTGGGCAAAGGATATGAACAGACACTTGTCAAAAGGAGATACTTATGCAGCCAACAAACGTATAAAAAAATGCTCTTCATCACTGGTCATTAGAGAAATGCAAATTAAAACTACATTGAGATACCACCTCACGCCAGTTAGAATGGTAATCATTAAAAAGTCAGGAGACAATGGATGCTGGAGAGGATGTGGAGAAATAGGAACACTTTTACACTGTTGGTGGGAGTGTAAATTAGTTCAACCATTGTGGAAGACAGTGTGGCAATTCCTCAAGGATCTAGAAGTAGAAACACCATTTGACTCAGCAATCCCATTACAATTCTTTGGGTATATATCCAAAGATTTATAAATCCTCTATTACAAAGACACATGCACACGTATGTTTATTGCAGCACTGTTCACAATAGCAAAGACTTGGAACCAACCCAAATGTCCATCAGTGATAGACTGGATAAAGAAAATGTGGCACATATACACCACAGAATACTATGCAGCCGTAATAAAAGATGAGTTCATGTCCTTTGCAGAGACATGGATGAAGCTGGAAACCATCATTCTTAACAAACTAACACAGGAACAGAACACCAAACACCGCATGTTCTTACACGTAAGTGGGAGTTGAACAATGAGAACACATGGACACAGGGAAGGGAACATCACACACCAGGGACTGTCGGGGGGTGGGTTGGGGACCAGGGTAGGGATAGTAGTGGGAGAAATACCTAATCTAGATGACGGGGTGACGGATACGGCCAACCACCACGGCACGTGTATACCTACATAACAAACCTGCATGTTCTACACATGTACTACAGAACTTAAAGTACAATTAAAAAAAGAGAGAAAAACATGAAAAATCTTTACTAGAAAGCAGGTGGCAAAGCAGTGGCTTCTGTTCTTCAGGAGCAAACCTTTCTTGTTTAAGACTAGTGATGGCGTTAATGACAACTTCAAAATGCAAAACATTAATAAGGCTTAAGGAGGAGCCTGTCATATTTCACACAACATAATGCTAGTAGCAACTGCCTGTCTTCCAAGCTAAGGGACACTAGGGCCTACCTCCAACCTCCTGATAGGTGCACATTACCTTAAACATGGTGCCCAAGAGCCCCGCCATCACTGTCCCCGCCCTGCATCTGCATCTGCATCTGCGCCTGCATCCTGGCGATCATCTCTTGCATGCGGCGGAGCTGTGAACACAGTGTAGATTGGACACGTTATAGGTTTTCGCAGTTTGCTGTCTCAACATTATTTCTGGGTGTTCTGTGATTCCTAATATTTCAACTTCTACACTTTCCCAAAACATAACCCAGTTATTATATAAAGACTTCTTACCAATCAATAATAAGAGCTATTTACAAAACAAACCCACAGCCAATATCATACTGAATGGGCAAAAACTGGAAGCATTCCCTTTGAAAACCGGCACAAGACAAGGATGCCCTCTCTCACCACTCCTATTTCATATTCCTAAAAGGACCAATAGGTAAAGAGAAAACCAAGTAAATGATACGAATATCCAACCCAAATAGAAAAGAAATTCTCAGTAAACAGTAACAATAACCAAAGAAAGGTAAGACAATATGAGAAATTTTCTAGCCTTAAATAGGGGGAAAGACAGTGATGACAGTGGGAAATGCAAAGTTAAGGGGAATGGGAATGATTCAGCTTTTCTGGAGGGCAATGAAGGCCTCCCGATAAAAATAATATATACGTGTATATATTTATGTTATGTATTTATTTATTTAAATTTCCCCTTGCATGTCACATACATATATTTTTTAAAGTGATGGGACCTTGATCTTTTGCCCAGGCTAGACTGCAGTGGAACAATCACAGCTCACTGCATCCTCAAACTCCTGGGCACAGAGGATCCTTCTGCCTCAGCCTCCCAAGTAGCTGGGACTACAAACAGGTGCGTGCTGCCATGCATGGTTAATCATTCTTAAATTTTTTTGGAGAGACGAGGTGTCACTCTGTTGCCCTAGCTGGTCTTGAACTCCTGGCATCAACTGAGTCTTCTAAAGTGCTGGGACTACAAGTGTGCACAGTGCCTGTCCGAAAATAGTGAATGTTGATTCATCTTTATCCTTATCTTTGTGATTTATATGTGTGCAGAAATGCCTCCAGGAAAGTATTATAAAACATTCACCTAAATTTTCTTCAGGCAACTTTGTGGTTATTTTTAACATCTACATATTTGATTAATATTGAATTAATTTGACCAAAGAAGCATTTTCTTTTTGTTTCGAAAAGGCTGGCTCATTATGATCCTATTGTTTACTGAATAATGTGTTTGCCTTCCAAAACTCCAGCAAATCTGAATGCCACCTTTACAACAGAGCATATATCCATATTTATGCTCTGCTTACAGAAATCAGTAACATTACTAAATTGCCTCCAAAATGTTTCAGCTAAAGATATGAACCATTATGTATGTTATGTATGTACATTATTACATATAGATGGATATATACAGTAATAAAAGTCACACGTATCCTCCCCAACAAATTGAAAAAGAAAAACTCATTACCAGTGACATTTATGGATGAAAAAGAAATTGCTTTAGTCGTAAGAATAGTACTTTTTGGCCGGGTGCAGTGGCGCATGTCTTCAATCTCAGCACTTTGTGAGGCTAAGGTGGGCAGATCATCTGAGGTCAGGAGTTTAAGATCGGCCTGGCCAACATGGTGACACCTCGTCTCTACTAAAAATATAAAAACTAGCCAGGCATGTAATCCCAGCTACTTGGCAAGCTGAGGCAGGAGAATCGCTTGAACCCGGGAGGCAGAGGTTGTAGTGAGCCCAGATCGTGCCATTGCACTCTAGCCTGGACAACAAAGCAAAACGCTGTCTCCAAAAGAAAAAAAGTACTCTTCTACTTAACTTACCTCAGCTTCCTTTTCCAGCAAGATCTGGTCTTTATTCATGTCCTCGTTCTCCACTTTCCTAAGAATTTAAAGAAATCAGAATTATGACACTGTAACCAATAGTTATTTCTGATCCCTCGTCCCAAAAATTCTACTTTAAAATTTGAAATGATATGTATTTATCATTTTTCTTTCTTTTTTTCTTTTTCATTTTAAATTTGAGATAGTCTTGCTCTGTTGTCCAGGCTGGAGTACAGTGACACGATCTCAGCTCACTGCAACCTCCACCTCCTAGGTTCAAGCAATTCTCTCAACTTAGCCTACAAGGTAGCTAGGACTATAGGCTCATGCTGCCATGCCTGGCTAATTTTTTTTGTTTAGTAGAGACGGGGTTTCGCCATGTTGGCCAGGCTGGTCTTGAACTCCTGGCCTCAAGTAATCTGCTCGCCTTGGAGTCCCAAAGTGCTGGGAAGACAGGCGTGAGCCACCACGCCGGGCCTATCATTTTTCTAATTAAAGATATAATGAATAAAAAGGGAACAAAATGATTTTAAAAAAAGGACAAATAATACTAAATGGAACATTGAAGAGACTTTTCTTAGTGTAAGTTTGAGTGACAGCACGTGCTTTTACCCACTCAAAAAAACAAGTATTGGCCAGGCGGAGTGGCTCACACCTGTTACCCCAACACTGTAGGAGGCTGAGGTGGGTGGATTATGAGGCCAGGAGATTGAGACTATCTTGGCCAACATGGTGAAAACCCATCTCTACTAAAAGTACAAAAATTAGCTGGGCATGGTGGCAGGCTGTAGTCTCAGCTACTCAGGAGGCCGAGGTAGGAGAACTGCTCGAACCAGGGAGTCGGAGGTTGCAGCTAGTGGAGATTATGCCACCACACTCCAGCCTGGGTGACAGAGTGAGACTCTATCTTAAAAAAGAAAATAGGTATTATCTGAAAAATTTGCTTTAAGTTATTCTTTATGAACACAAATGTAGTCACCGTACTTAAGGAAGGAGCAGAGGCATGCACCAGCACCCCTGGCTAATTTAAAACAATTTGTTAGAGAGATGAGGTCCCCTTTGCTGCCAGGGCTGGTCTCAAACTCCTGGGCTCAAGTGATCCACTTGCCCTGGCCTCCAAGAAAACTTATATAAAAACGTATTAGAATGATAAAGAAGAAAGTGTGAGTGAGGGTGGCGGTAGGACTCTGCAAAGATTGAAGCTTCTGCTTCAATAGCCACTGGCTGCCTGGAAGCCACTCATCCTGGCCTCACCCTTAACTTGGGCACTGCAGTTTCTTACTGGCAACAAGTTTGTCCTCAGATACAGAGCGATGCTTTTGAAGACATACTCAGCACAAGTCTCTGGCTTTTCCATCTAAAACTTTTGTTTGTTTGTTTTGAGATAGGGTCTTATTCTATTGCCCAGGATAAAGTACAGAGGTGCAATTATGGCTCACTGCATCTCCCAGGCTCACCTGCTCCTCCCAACTCAGCTTCCCGAATAGCTGGGATTACAGGTATGTGCTGCCATGCCCGGCTAAATCCAAATTTTTTTAAATTTTTGTACAGATGGGATTTCATCATGTAATCCCATGCTCTCAGAACTCCTGAGCTCAAGCAGTCTACCTGCCTTGGTTTCCCAAGGTGCTAGGATTACAGGCATGAGCCACCATGCTGGCCTCAAGTTTTTATGTGGACATCATTAAGTGTACTTTTTCTTTAAAAGGCTAAAAGAACATAATTTGATTAAATTAACAGCTCTTTTATAAATGACTTTTCAGTAGAAAACCAAACCATGTTGCTGAATGGTCAAGAAGGCTGAGCTAAACACACAGAGGAGGAGGAACATCGTGACTCAGGGTGACACAAAATTGAGGAAGAAGCACAGTGTGATTACCTGCCACCTCTCTTGAGTCTCTCAGAACGGAAGTTTTCATAATGAAGGTCCTGGGTCACCTCCTGGAGATCCTGCATGTGGGTGCTGAAAGAGAAGAGGAATGCACCACAATGGCCTCATGCATTTGACATGGTCATTAGAAAAAAAACCACCCATCAAGTACATAGAAGAAATAGCAGTAATTACAATAACTTGGTAAACTGTACATAAAGCTGTTGGGATTTCAGGATAAGGAGTACAGCCGTAAATGTCTAGTGAGGTGCAGCTCTCCCTTTCTTCCCCAATAAATGACATACAAACAGGTCTGGACTGAGTCTCTCAAGGGGATTTCTGCCAGAGGCACAATCATTCCCATATGACGCCACCACTACTACAGGGTGGCAGATAAGACAGATGATAAGAGACTTTTAGGTCAACAATGTCTGAAAATAAAGACAGAAAAGCAACGGGAAAAAAAAGAACCATGTCTGAAATAGAATACACTCTTCTTAAAGGACGTATGGAAATGTAACTAAAACATTCATGCCTCCTTTAACTTAAAATTTATATATTACTCTCATGTGAGCAGAGTTAGTTAGCTTAAGCTACGCAGAAGACCATGAAGTGAAGGACTAATATTCTGGATGCAAGAATATTATCAACAACTTAACCTTCCATTCATCTTATGAATCACTTTCTGTTTTCAACTGCCTAGCTCATTCAAATACTTACGCAGGCAACAATGAGGAAACATGACACATTCCTTTATTCAGGATCCAGGGATGTGGATCGAGACAGCAAAGGAGTGGCTCACTGTCCCGAATTGTGAGAGACACACAGCTGACACTGAACTCTGTCTTCAGCCTCTACACCCCATTCAGTAACAGGGACCAGGACAGCCAAGGGTGCAGCCCTGGAGGGGCTGAGTGCACCTGAACTTCTTACGCAACCATTAAATTGTGTTTGACACAGCTTGGATGGTAACATCGGATTTTAACTCAGTATGAATTGTTAAAACAAGTGAGACGTGGTGAGTATGTAGCAACTTTCAGCTAATGAAAACATTGATTTGTCCAGATCAGTGGTAGCTGAAGTCCTCTGATTAAAGAGGTATATAGAGTTTGAACAGTACTCTCAGCTTTTCTTTCTTTCTTTCTTTTTTTTTTTCCTTGAGATGGAGTCTTGCTCTCGTTGCCCTGGCTGGAGTGCAGGGGTCGGATTTAGGCTCACTTGATCTCTGCCTCCCAGGTTCAAGCAATTTTCCTGCCTCAGCAGTAGCTGAGTAGCTGGAATTACAGGCACAAGCCACCACACCTGACTGATTTTTTTTTATTTTTAATAGATGAGGTTACACCATGTTGGCTAGGCTGGTTTCAAACTCCTGACCTCAAGTGATATGCCCACCTTGGCTTCCCAAAATGCAGGAGTATAGGTGTGAGCCACTGTGCCCAGCCTCAGTCTCTTTTTTGAAGAGTAAAAGCAATGCATGCATGTTACTATATGTGAAATAAATTTATTTATCAGTCTCATTTTTTCAAGAGTAAAAGCAATGCATGCATGTGACTATACGTGAAATAAATTTATTTATCAGCCTCATTTTTTCAAGAGTAAAAGCATATATGTGAAATAAATTTATTTACTTGAGACAGACTCTCATTCTGTCGCCTAGGCTGGAATACAGTGGCAAGATCTTGGCTCACTGCAACCTCCGCCTCCCGGATTCAAATGATTCTCCTGCCTCAGCCTCCTGTGAGTAGCTGGGATTACAGGCACACACCACCAGGCCTGGCTAACTTTTTTTGTATTCTTAATAGAGACGGGGTTTCTCCATGTTGGTCAGGCTGGTCTCAAACTCCTGACCTCGCGATCTGCCCGCCTCGGCCTCCTGAAGTGCTGGGATTACAGGCATGAACCACTGTGTCTGGCAATAAAATTTATTTTTCAAGGAAAAAATGTCTATTTTTGTAGTCAGACCTGTAATAATTATTAATAATAAATGGAAGACATAAAAAGCTAAACCTGGGCAAGCAAGTGGTTTAGCTCAGACTGGAGAGCAGGATGCCAGGTGTGGCTTGGCCTGGAGCAGATCAGGGGCCTACAGAGCCCGATCATTTCCTTACCAGTGCAGGGACCTCTCAGACCCCAGTTTACGTCTGGTCTCCTTTTAACATCAAAGATGCAAGGTCTTAGCAGGAAGGAAAGGTACTACAGGTTACAGGCCATAGGGGAAAGCGCTACCTTTGTAGTGACACTGAGGAGCCTAGGTGAGGGCTCTCAGCACCAAGCTGCAGCAGCCCCACACCACATCTGCAATGCAGATGACAAGGAAGGTGCTGGCTGCAACTCTGTGGGGGCCACATGTACACCCCATTTGAAATCCACATTCTTCATGCCAAATTCTGCCAGCAGGAACACCCCAAATGTCTTACATGAGCATGGTTCTCAGCTTCAGAAAGTCGTTGTGCTCTGGGTTCTCCACCTCCACAACACCCCAGGGGTAGAGGCGGCCTCTGACCTTCTTTCCTTTGGCTTCAATCAACTGATTGGATCCAACCACAGAGAATGGGATGCTAGCCTAGAAAGAGACAGAGTAGACAGGCTCCACGCAGGGAACCCGAGTTCACCGGTCTCACAAGAACATAACCACAGACTTAACACATTGCTGTTTACTACACGATTTAACTAAAAAGCTGGGGCTATGTGACCTTTTCTTGTAAAGTGTCAGATACTTCCCACACGGGACAAATTGTATGAAAACAAATTAAACCTACAATAAAATTTCTAAGCGTTAGGTGATAGCTTTATCAAAGTTTTATTTTTTTTTTTTTAAGACTAGAGTCTCGCTCTGTTGTCAGGCTGGAGTGTAGTGGCACAATCTCGCTCGGCTCACTGCAATCTCCGCCTCCTGGATTCAAGTGATTCTCCTGCCTCAGCCTCCCAAGTGGCTGGAACTACAGGTGTGCACCACCACACCCACCTAATTTTTGTATGTTTAGTGGAGATGAGATTTCACCATGTTGGCGAAGATGGTCTCAAACTCCTGGCCTCAACTGATCCATCCGCCTTGGCCTCCCAAAGTGCTGGGATTACAGGCATGAGCCACTGCGTTGAGGCCTCAAAATACATTTAAAGCAAAAGTACTATCATAACTGAACATACTCAGACAATCTCTCTCATCTTAACATGGACGACAGTAAACAGGAGTTATTTACGTTGCAGATTTGAAGCTAGTTCTTACCTTGAGAAGTCTCGTCTGCTCTTTAAAATCTTCATCTTCGTCTGATTCTGCATCAGGTAAGTGATAGATTTTGATGTTATGTTCTTCAATTTCATCCAGAATCTGATAGAATGACAAAACCAGATCAATTTTAGTCAACTGCATATATTATTGTAGCCAATTCTAAGTCAACATGTAAGAAATGTATCAGAATCATCCAGATGTCAATAATCAAACTAATTATGAAAGTTCTTGTCAAATAAATTTATAAAACTGCCAGAAAGGCATTTATATTTAAATTTTGAGGATCTTCTGTAAAGAATAAAAGTAACATTAGCAATAATGCACCACCACCCTCAATGCACAAAGCAGTAAGACTAATGTTAGCACCAGAACAATAGCTAAAATGGAAATCATACCATCATCAGCCTCTCAGGAAAGACAAATACCACAGGAGAAGCTACAGGCATGAGAAGTCCCTGTAGAACAGGCAGGAGTCTTATAAGCAGAGAAGATGGGGAGGTACCCCAGATGAAAAAAAAAAAGAAAAACAAAAACACTGTCAAAGGCACAGAGAGGAGGAGGACCCATAGGGTGAGTTTTAAGAGTAACAAGAAATTCGAAAGGCTGGAATCTAAGACACGCCGTTGAATAAGGGAACAAAAACTGGAGTTACAAAGTGGAGAGTTCCATGAACACCAGGCTAGGGACTTAGGGATCTGTATTTCATTCAACAGGCAACCAGCAGCCAAATCCCACAATCTGACCTATCAAGCAGGCCGTAGTGTGGGGGGGGCCTCCATGGGGGAAAGAACTGGGCCAAAGTTGAAATATGCATTCATTCATCAGTCAATCAATTACAACCCCAGCACTCAAATGCCCACTACATGGCGGGCGCTCTGACAGGCACCAGGCAGGCCAGTTTTGTTTGGCCTCAGCCCAGCACCTGGGGCATCAAGGGAAGAGAGAACAAAAGCAATGTGAACAGAAAATATTCCAAGCAGAAAATTTGCGCTGGGCCTGATCCCTGCTTTTTATGAATCGAAATCCTTAATGTGACCTGAAAAGGGCCTTTAATGATCAGAGATTTGCTCTTAGCACAACGTCTGCACTAATTCAGAACTCCAGAAAAGGCCCTCCTTTCTACATCCTTTATTCTGTAAGCCGACCTTCAGCCTTTTCATAAATCCTTATTCCTAAATGGGAGGAACCATCTTATCTCTGGAAGAAACTTGCTCACCTGTCCTCACTCACGGCCCCTTTCCTGGTCTTTTATCCATCCATGCCAACCCCATCTTTTGTCCTATGCTGTCCTCATTAAGATGGAGCTTGTATTTTGGAGGGGAGAAGAGTTCGGAAATATTTAGTAACCCGACTATTTAAAAGTGGAGGAGAGGAGTCAGAAAGTGATGAATAAGGAATAATTACACATTTCTCAGTCTGGGTGACCGGAAGAACTGTGGGACCACTTAAAGGGACAGGAGTTCATCAGTGAGCAAAAGAGGGCTCCTGTGTAGGCACACATGGTTCACAATAAGAAATAAGATACTTGGGCCGGGCGTGGTGGCTCACGCCTGTAATCCCAGCACTTTGGGAGACCGAGGCGGGTGGATCACGAAGTCAAGAGATCGAGACCATCCTGTTTAACAAGGTGAAACCCCGTCCCTGCTAAAAATACAAAAAATTAGCTGGGCATGGTGGGGCGCGTCTGTAATCCCAGCTACTCGGGAGGCTGAGGCAGGAGAATTGCCTGAACCCAGGAGGCGGAGGTTGCAGTGAGCCGAGATCACGCCATTGCACTCCAGCCTGGGTAACAAGAGCGAAACTCTTAATAAAAAAAAAAAAAAATAAGAAAAATCGAAAAAAAAAAAAAGAAAAAGAAAAAGAAATAAGATACTTGGAAGGGCAAATCTGAAGTCACAGAAATAATGTGATCAAAATAATATTAAGAAATAGTGACCTTTAAGGATCAGGAAGGAAGATGGAAAAAAGCTGCAGATGGCAAAGCAAGCACAGTGGCCCAGCAGCCAAGGAAGGGAAGCTTCAGGAGCAGAACTGCCAATCACACAAAGCTCACAGGCGGGCCCACATACGAGAACTGAAGTGCCGGCCAAGCCCATGAGCGAGCAGCTGCAGGTGAATGACAGGAAGCCTGTGTGAACAGGATCGCGGGAGGGCAGATAACAGCCATCAGTAAGTGTCTGACTGAAAGGAAAGGCTGCGGAAGGAAGAGGCTAGTAGAGGCCTGCAGACGGCAAGAGGTTCTTTTAGACGGGGCAGAATGAGCAAACTGGGAGGCCCCAAGAAGAGACTGGAGAAAGAAGTGATTAAAGAGGCCCCAGAAGGAAGGGATAAAAGCTCCAGGTATTTCTATTCATCTCAGACAGGATTAGAGATTAAAATTAGAGCATTCTAAGCCTGACACCACCCCGATTTCTACCTCAAAGAAATTTAATGTACAGAATACAAAAGGTAAAGTTCCCTTAAGTGGGAGTTGCTATATTTATTAGCGGAAAAACATCTATGTTTCCCGGGTTCTTCTAAAGGTACACATACTTCCTAAAAAACCGGCAGGCACTTGAGACAATGAAGGAAAAGGCTGCCAACATGACTAATGCTACTTAAAAACTGCTACGGAAAAAAGCACCAAGAAAATCATGAAAACACGAACAAGCCAGGTGAAATCATCTGCAACGTGACAGTCAACATCTATCTGTTAAGTCAATAAAAAAGCAAGAGCCAAGCCCCTGCGACCTGAGAGAATACACTAACTGGCATCGACACCAGGATAGACGCTCGCAACACCAATCGAGGAAATGCAAATTAAAATGAGACACAATTTCTCAGACGAGAAACACATTACAAAAACTTGCAACATAACCGGGACAGAGGAGTACACTTCGGAAATGTAAATTGTTAGAAACTTATTTTACCGCAAGTTTAGTCCTCTTTCAAATTTTTAAATGTATACTGATTTCCTAGTAGTTTGGCTCACACAACTGTGAAAAGATGGATGTGCGCTGACGTTCATCACAACAATTATGCGACAAAGCTGTTATGTGCCAGACTTCATTCTGAACTCTGGGAACACACAGGTGAACGAAGCAGACTCCTGTCTCAGGACCTGGGTCAGGGGTCAGAAGCCAAAAACTACACTGGAGAAATACTTCATGCAGTGTGTGGAGTGCTGCCAGCAGAGCAGGGGATGGAGATGTCAAATCTTGTGTGCACCGCTGGGCTCAGTGCGGGAGTTGCCCGCATGGATATCTGAGGGAAGACTGTTCTAGGCAGAGGGTATCACCAGCAAAAAGGAACAACAAGGGGCAACAGTAAATTTGGTAAGCAAAGAAAAGGGGCCAGAGCAAAACAAAAAGTAAGCCAAATATTCATCAACTGAGCAAGTTACAGTACATTCCTACGGTGGAATGCTATGTGTGCATCCAGTAAGAATTAGGGTAGAGCTATATATGAGAATGCTTCCAAATATTTTTAAATAGAATAATCAAATGGCAGAGTCATATTACTATGTGATTTCATTCTGTAAAAACAAAAAACACAGGCCATGTTCACAAGGACATATACTTAACAACTGTTCTTTCTATGCGTAATTACAGAAATTCTTTTTTTTATTTTCTTGGGACAGAGTCTTGCTCTGTCATCCAGGCTGGAAGGCAAACAACCTCCACCTCCTGGGCTGAAGCGATTCCCTTGCCTCAGCCTCCTGAGTAGATGGGACTACAGGCACCCACCTCCACACCTGGTCAATTTTTGTAATTTTTTTAGAGATGGAGTTTTACCATGTTGGTCACGCTGAACTTCAAGTCCTGACCTCTGCTGATCTGCCCACCTCAGCATCCAAAAGTGTTGGGATTACAGGCGTGAGCCACCACACCAGGCATATGATTTCTTTTAGTAAAAAACTCTTTTTTTAAGAGACAGGGTTTTGCTATATTGCTGAAGTTGGCCTCTGACTCCTGGGCTCAAGTGATCCTCCTGCCTCAGCTGCCTGGTGTACCCCCTCAACCTGCTCCAGCAACTGGGATTACACGCATGTACTGGTATGTTCAGTTACGTATTTGTATTTTTAGAGTTCAGCATATGTTTCTTAAGGAGCATATCATCAGAAAAAAGGAATTAAAAAATATATAGCGGAGAATCAATAAAGAGCCTTTATAGAAATACACAGAAGAGGGCACTAAAACAGGGGCACCACAGGAGCTGCTGGAGGGGAGAGATGCTTCGCCGGCTGAGGATTGCTGCTTTCCCAAACAGAACAGAGAGTCAGTCTCCTTAGACACCTCCTCGGATGGGTCATTTGCAGTAAAGTATGTAGGTAAAACAATAAACTTCATGGAGAGATCACATTTCTGTATTTGAGTCATTTAACACCAATGAAACGTACTTGTGTGTTACCAACTGCTACTCATTGAGAGCATTTTAAATATAAGGAGAATTTAAAGAATAGAAATTTGATACCTTCATGAAGGAAAAAATTAAAATTTGTAACTCTTAGGTTCTCCTTGAAAACCACCAATAAAATGCAGGAAAAGTCCTCCTGCCCTGCCTCCCGACACCTGAGCTGACGGCTGAAGGAGCAAACACTCTCCTTTCTCCATCCCCCATGCCCCCAAACTGCACCCAGAGGGAGAGCAGGAGGCCAACCTCACTCACCCTTTTCTTCAGCCGCTCCCGTTCCTTCAGGGTGAGGGTGTCAGCTTTTGCAATGACAGGCACAATATTCACCTTGTTGTGTATTGCCTTCATAAACGCCACATCTAATGGCTTAAGTCTAAAATTAATTTTAAAAGTGTCACTTAAAATTTAAGAAAAACACATATAAAACTTTTTTCTCTCAAGGCATCTTAATTCTTACATTAAAACAGAGTTTGGGTAAAACTTACAAACCATGTAGTAAGCGCTTCCCCACAGTAAACAGTACTTACCCGTGTCCAAAAGGGGAAATGAAGTAAAAGCAGCAGTGCACTCGGTTATCCACAATGTGTCGCCTGTTCAAGCCGCTCTCGTCATGCAGGTACCGCTCAAACTGCTCGTCAATATAGGAGATGATCGTCTTAAAACTGAAACACAAGCATCCACAGGAATCACAGGGCATAAAACCAGAGGTCCCTGACTTCAAAGGGAAAACAGTAATTCATTTTCAAGATGAGAACGGAAGACTGACTCCGAGATTTGGCAAATGTAAGTTTCTGGAAAGCATGCCAAGCATAACTGCCCCTAAGTACTGGGAGTCAAAGCCTGAATGCAATAGGCTATGAGGCACCTGAGAGACGACGTGTACGCAGGGCTGCCTTTTTTTTTTTTTTTTTTTGAGATGGAGTCTCGCTCTGTCGCCCAGCCTGGAGTGCAGAGGCACGATCTCTGCTCACTGCAACCTCTGCCTCCTGGGTTCAAGCGATTCTCCTGCCTCAGCCTGCTGAGTAGCTGGAATTACAGGTGCACCACCATGTAATCCCATGTAATTGTATTTTTAGTACAGACGCGGTTTCACCATGTTGGTCAGGCTGATCTTGAACTCCTGACCTTGTAATCGGTCCGATTTGGCCTCCCAAAGTTCTGGAATTAAAGGCATGAGCCACCGCGCCCAACCAGGGTTGCCAATTCTTTTCAGGAACGTGATTGTGAAGAGGGGCCGAGGAACAGGATGGTAGAACATGTAGGTCAAGAACATGTTTACCTGACATGGGAACAGGACAGCACTTTCACATCTAAGAAGGGAGAAATTCCCAATGTAGGAGAGAGACAAAAGAACCTTCCGCTTTTCTCTAATGGTAGAAAGTTGATGCTTTATGTTGACAGGATAAAAACCAGGAGGGAGTTTGTACCATCAAAGCGGTATTCTTTGCATAGTACAGGTGATAGACCGCTCTGTCTTCTACTTCTTCATTTCCTGATTTGTGAAAACAATGCCGATGAGCAGTCATTTACAGACACTGACTCAACTTCATTTCCGTCCATAGAAAAAATGTACTACAGTATCTTGTTCACCAGGCACGGCTCAAATCCAGGTGCTTTACGCTAGCAGTCTCCGGATGGTCAGCTTTGTGATCCCAAATCACTAGAGTACCAGAGAATAACTACTCTCCATAAAATTCTTAAATTATTTTAAAAGTCCATATTTAACATGCTTTAAACTGTCTAGCTGTTTTATTATATACAGCTATCCCAAACTTAATAATCACTCATTAACACTACCTACAAATTTAAGTACATTGAATAAACAAATGCAGACCCGAGCACGGAGGTGCATACCAATCCCTGCAGTTGATGGCGTCACCGTAGCCGGGGGTATCGACCACTGTCAGGCGTAGCTTGACCCCTCGCTCTTCGATTTCAACAGTTGAAGCCTCAATTTGGACGGTTCTTTCAATTTTCTCTAGAAAACAAACAAACAATAGGGAATAGAAGCAGCATGCAAAGAGGAAAGGTCACGTTAATAACATTCTTATGACAAATGGCTTCAGAGTCCACCACCTCTCTGCAAGACGCAGGTTCTCCAAAGATACCATGGGTCCAGGGTAGTCAGAAAGCGGAACATTAAAGCTAAGATTAATGAGCTACTGGGGAAGGTTAAAAATGCAAATATGAAAAATTCTAATTTCTGTTCCTGAGATAAAGAAAAGAATTTACAAATTCATTTAAAAATTGAGGCCAGGCGCACTGGGTCATGCCTGTAATCCCAGCACTTTGGGAGGCTGAGGCGGGTGGATCACGAGGTCAAGAGATCGAGACCATCCTGGCCAACACGGTGAAATCCTGTCTCTACTAAAAATACAAAAATTAGCCAGGCATGTTGGCGGATGCATGTAGTCCCAGCTACTCAGGAGGCTGAGGCAGGAGAACTGCCTGAACCCAGGAGGCACAGGTTGCAGTGAGCCGATTGCACTCCAGCCTGGGTAACAAGAGTGAAACTCCGTCTCAAAAAAAAAAAAATGTAATTCACACTTTGGGAGGCCGAGCCGGGCGGACACGAGGTCAAGAGATAGAGATCATCCGGGCCAACATGGTGAAACCCCGTCTCTACTAAAAATACAAAAATTAGCCGGGCGTGGTAATATGCGCCTGTAGTCCCAGTTACTTGGGAGGCTGAGGCAGGATAATTGCTTGAACCCAGGAGGCGGAGGTTGCAGTGAGCCGAGATCACACCACTGTACTCCAGCTTGGCACCTGAGCGAGACTCTGTCTCAAAAAAAAAAAAAAAAAAAAAAATTGAATTCAAAACTATTCTGAAAGAGCTACATATTCTTGCAGCAGCCCAAGTCCCAGGCTCTCACCATGTGTGGCTCATTCATTCAACAGGCGTTTGTGGATGCTTTCAGAAAAGCGCTCTGCTGGAACCTCCTGACAGCAGATGAATTAGATAACATCTATTCCTAGTAATCTTCTAGCTACACACCATTTTTTATATAAAATATTCTCACCGAATCTTCCCATCAAATGTGTAATATAGGCAGAAACTACTTATTACATTTTACAGACTAAAGAAACTCAGAGAGCATGGATCCATGGATACATGTCAAGGAAAGTCCACGGACTTGGTGTAGCACACCTACGCAATATAAGTGGTTCCCTTGTGTTCGAAGCTGAACAACAACAAACAAAACACAGAGCTAAGGCATAAAACATGAATTAGGCACTCTTCAGCACCTTTTATGTAGCATGACACTCAAAATAACATAGGAATGTTTTTACCTGCAGCGCCAGGTATAACTCTTTCTGGGTAGAGATCAGTTAGGAATAGGCTGTTTATGAGAGTCGATTTTCCTAGACCTGATTCACCTTTAAATGAAAACAAAAACCTTGTCATGACCTTATCCGTATGACAGCATTAAATCTCTTAAGTGTTTACACAAGGTCTGGGTACTGGGTTAAGCACCTCACGAACATCATTTTCTGTGTGCTCCACACTCCAAGTATCATTAGGCTTAGTACCTACAGTTCTACTCTGTTTGGAGAATGATCTTTGAGGGCACTCAAGGAAACTCAGGAACTTGCCCAAGGTCAGAGTACTATCCAGAGCAGGGCCATGACGCAAAGGCCTGTGAGACGACAGAACCTCAACACAACTGTTCACAAATGCGAGGAATGTACTCTAGAGGTTGGTTTTCATTTTTGTCAAACAGAATGCAAAGCAGGTTTTCAATGACCACATTTTCAGAAAACTGAACGTATCTATCCTATCATGCTTCCTGAGCTGCAGGACGGGGCCTGTGGCCTGGTGGACTCACTTGTACTCACTCACTCGCAACCTCCACCTTCTGCCACCCTGTTCTGTTTCCCAGCACTGGCAACTGCCACATGTCACTTTGTTGAGTTCACATGACTAATTCAGGCGAGACCTGTCCATGTAAGCTTTCAATGAGGTAAGAATCCCTCTTCAATTACTGTAAGTACATATTCTGAATATTTAAAATTTAACTTCAATAAAGATGCAAAATACCAAAAATTAAATTTTACATTTGAAGGAAGCACAATTTCCACTGCTTCACTGAAGGTTATCATCTAAGTCTTAATTGTGCATGGAGAAGAGCTTCTGATCTTGGTACTAAATGGTACTTGGTGCTGGACTGTCCCCTGGGCACCTAAACCACCCTCTGTTAAGTTCTGCAAAACACAAGGAAGGAGTACACATCTGTTTTAAAAGTTATTATTTCTGACTCAGCACATTGGCTCACACCTATAATTCCAGCACTTTAGGAGACCAAGGCTAGAGGATCACTTGAGGGCAAGAATTTGAGACCAGTCTGGGCAAAATAGTGAGACCTGCACCAACTCTCAAAAAACCAAAACAAAGTAAAAAATCCCCAAACCTTAGCCAGGTGGGGTGGCATGTACCTAGAGTCCCAGCTACTTGGGAGGCTAGGGCAGGAGGACTGACTGCTTGAGCCCAGGAGTCAAGAGGTTACAGCAGGCTATGATCACGCCACTGCATTTCAGTCCGGTGATACAGTGAGACCCTCTCCCTTTCAAAAGAAATAATTCTGGGAAAATCAAGAACAAAAAAGTGAATTTGAAATGTGCAGACATACAAAATTAGGACTGCATTTTAAGGAAACTGCAATCTTCACACATGAAAAGGACAAAACAATGTGTTAAACATGCCTAAATATGAAAGTAAATATGTGACTCAATGCCTATTATCCCATTAAGTCATCCTTTGAATAAACTATCCTGCAATGCCCCTTTACATTTTTACGCCAGTTAAAGGAAGTTTTACCGACATCTGCTAAGTCTTTTTCGGCATGTCTGGCACAGATCTAGACACAGAGATACAACAGAGAACAAGATGGAACTAAGTCCCTGCTCCCTGGAGCTCTGCAGCCCAGCAGGCAGAGGATAAACCAATGCAATCCCTTTCTGAATACAGGGCAACAGCTGTGAGGAATAGAATATCCCGCTGGCTAAGCAGGCAAGTTCACAAAATAACATGTCAAATACAAATGAAAGACTACAAATGTTTGGGCAACAGTCTGCAAGGGATTCTAAAATCACAAATGACTTATTCAGAGATAGAAGGAGGGAACCCAGGTGGCAGACTGTCCGTGAGACAACTTGGTGACCACACTGCTCAACACTGTAGTCAGAGTGATACATTGTATTAAGTTACTATCCTGGCTACATTTATATGGGATGGTGGTTTAATAGGAAAAGCATGTTTAAAAATAAAACCTGTTGCCAAATATGTTATCTACTAGAAATCTAACGTAAAGATGCTTGGGTCTGAAAAAGAAGAACTAGGTTGTTACCGTGACCAAACTCACAGGAGGGGCACACAGCAAGCACTTGAGGACTAAAAGCTAGAGCAGTGTGTAATTCCAGGTGCTCACGTGAGCATGCATGTTATGGGTGCTCCACTCCAAAGGCACAGGAGTCTGGGATGGGCAGGCCAGACCTTTGTGAGACCTTGGTGAGCTGCCTGCTCCCAGAGTCCAGCCTCACACAGCTCTCAGTGCCATCTGCTTTTGCACGCCTCTGATGGGAGTTATTTTCATGTTCGTTAAAAAGTTTAAATTTGCAGAGAAATTCCCTCAGATGTGAAAGCTATTTCCTAACATTCCTGGCATAGGCTGTTTTGCCGTTTTATTTTTTTAGCCTAGGTTTAATGAGATAGTTTCACTCTTGTTACCCAGGCTGAAGTGCAATGGCACCATCTCGGCTCACCGCAACCTCTGCCTCCTGGGTTCAGGCAATTCTCCTGCCTCAGCCCCCCGAGTAGCTGGGATTACAGGCATGCGCCACCATGCCCGGCTAATTTTTTGTATTTTTATTAGAGACGGGGTTTCACAATGTTGACCAGGATGATCTTGATCTCTTGACCGCATGATCCACCCGCCTCAGCCTTCCAAAGTGTTGGGATTACAGGCGTGAGCCACTGCGCCTGGCAAAAATAATCTTTATCTTTTTTTTTTTTGAGCAGAAATTTCACCTGCTATGAAAGTCGCAAAGTATTTTTTAAAATGCCAGAATACAGCTATTCTCTAAACGTAGTGACAAAAAGGACTGGAATGGGAGGTATTCAGAGTTTTAAAAATGACATGTTTTCCCTAATTAGAAAGAAAACAGTATTAGGTACAGTGGAATCACGGTAGAAAACGTACATGTATGGTGAGCAAGTGAAGCTTCACTGCACAATACTGCTCTGAAATCCCGTAAGGCAAATGAAGTCTACCCTCTGCAGTCTCCACTGCAGGCAAACACCAATCCGCTTTCTGTCCCTCCGGATCAGCACGGCTTATTCTGAAACTTAAAAAGGACAGGATACAACACGGCCCGTCTTCTTTCTGGCTGCTTTTGCTCAGCCAAGTCTGAGACTAACGCATGTTGCTGCATCTGTGAGGAGTTCGTTTCTTTGCAGTGCTCAGCAATACTCCAATGAATGGCTACACCACAATCTGTTAACCCACTCTCTAGATACCTCTGCTGCCCCACTTTGGGACTATTTTGGGCAAAGTGGCTATGAACATTCACATACGTCTCTAGGGAAAGGTTTTCACTGCTTAGGTGTAAATACACAGAAACAGCATTGCTGGGTCTTAAGTGTTAAGGAAGTACCAAACTGGTTTCCATGCTGGCTGTGGCATTTTCACACACTCACTAGGAAGGGTTCCAGTGTTTCACATCCTTGCTGACACCTGGAGTGCAGCCTTTTAGTGGATGTATAGTGGCAGCTCGTGGTTTCAATGCGTATTCCCCTAATGACCAAAGACGTGGACATCTTTATGTGGGTTTACTGGCCATTTGCAGATCTTCCTTAGTGAAATGCCTATTAAGATCTTTTGCCTGCTCTTTGTAGGTGGGTCATTTGTCTTTTTGATTTGTAGAAGATTTTTACAGAGTCTGGACATACATCCTTTGTCAGATACAGTACTATGAATACTTTCTGAATTCCTCACATTTTATTTTCCTATTGATGTCTTTTGAAGAAAGTGAACTTTTAATAATGCACAATATACTTTTTCTTCATCATTTCTATTCTTCACATCTTAAGAAATCTGCTTACTGCTAAGTCATAATTTTTTTTCCCCGTTTTCTTGTAGAATTTTTAAAGCTTTACATTTAAATCTATCATTTCAGGTTAATTTTGACGAGAGAGAGAAGCGGGAGTTGAAGTTCATTTTATTCACAGATAATCATTTAGTTTCCAAAGTGCTGTCTGTAAAAAGACTAACCTTGCCCCCACTGAATTAACTTGGCTTTTTTCTCAAAAACAAACAAACCCAAACAACTGAACGTATATTCATGGGTCTGCCTTTTGGCTGTTGCTCTGTTCAGTAGATCTGCGCACCGACCCTTCCCACATTGTCTCCATTAGTGCTGCTGAAGTCTTGAAACCAGAGAGTGTAATCCTCCGACTTTACTCTTTTCTAAACCTTTTGCCTGTTCTAGGCCCCCTGCATTTACATTTAAACTTTAGAATCAGCTTGTTTATTTATACTTCTAAAAGCTGGGGCTGGACGGGGTGGCTCATGCCAGTAATCTTTGCACTTTGGGAGGCTGAGATGGGTGGATCACTTGAAGCTAGGATTGGAGACCAGCTTTGCCAACATGGCAAAACCCCATCTCTACTATAAATACACAAATAAGATGGCTGTGGTGGCGCGTGCCTGTAGTGTCAGCTACTTGTCAGGCTGAACCTGAAACGCAGAGGTTGCCAAGATCTTACCATTGCACTCTAGCCTAGATGACAAGAGCAGCACTGTCTCAAAAAAAAAAAGAAAAAAGAAATCAAACTGACTGTATGGGACAATTTGGGGAGAAAGGGCATTTTAATAGTTCCAATCCCAAAATGGGGCAGATCTTACAACTTACTTAGGTTTCAATTTCTCTCAATGGTGATTGGTAGTTTTCACTGCAAAGGCCTTGCACATTTTGTTGAATTTATCCCTAAGCAATATTTTTTGTTACTATAAATGATACTGCCTTAAAAGTATTATTACTCGTTTGTGATTATTTTTATTTTGAGATGGAGTCTTGCTGTGTCATCCTGGCTGGAGTGGAATGGCGTGATCTCAGCTCACTGAAACTTCTGCTGAGTTTCCAACAATCCTCCTGCCTCAGCCTCCAGAGCGGCTGGGATTACAGGCACCCACCAGCATTCCGGGCTAATTTTTGCATTTTTGTAGAGAATATGTTTCACCACGTTGGCCAGGCTGGTCTTGAACTTCTGACCTCAGGTGATCTGCCAGGCTCAGCCTCCCAAAATGCTGGGACGACAAGTGTGAACTACCATGCCAGGCTTGTGATTTTCTTTTAAAGTTCATTTACTTATTTATTTTTGGTAGAGACAGTGTCTCCTTATATTCCCCAGGCTAGCCTTGAACTGGCCTCCAGCAGTCCTCTTATGGGTCCATTTTTGTTTTCTGAAACAGGGCCTGACTCTTGTCACCCATGCTGAAGTGCAGTGGCATAATCTTGGCTCACTGCAACCTCTGCCTCCCGAGTTCAAGTGATTCTCCTGCCTCGGCCTCCTGAGGAGTTGGGACTACAGGTGCCCACTGCCACACCCAGCTAATTTTTGTATTTTTACTAGAGATGGGGTTTTGCCATGTTGGTCAGGCTGATCTTGAACTCCTGACCTCAGGTGATCTGCCTGCCTCAGCCTCCCAAAGTACTAGGATTACAGGTGTGAGCCACGGCGCCCAGCCCATTTCTACTCTAGATGTTTGACAGAATTTAGCAGTGAGGCCACCTGAATGAACCTAGAGTTTTCTTTCTGGAAAGGTTTTAAAAGGCAAACAACTTCTTCAATACATATGACTATGCAGACTTCCTAACGCTTGTTTCAGTTTTGTCTTTCAGGGGAATTTTTCCATGTCATCCGAGTTGTTACCGACAATCAGCTGTTCACACTAATACTCAGTTAGCTACCGAATGGCCATGGGAGCTGTATGGCGACCATTCTTTCATCCCTAGTATTATCTGTTTGTTTGTTCTATGACGCCAGAGGCCTATCAATTTTACCAGTTTAGCTTGTTTCATTTTCATTATTATTTTCCATTTCACTGTTTCCTGCTCTTTATTATTTTCTTTATTCTGCTCATTAGGAGTTTGGTTTGTTCTTCATTTTCAAGTATAAGGAAGAACTCTAATGGCTCAATTTAACCTTTCTGCTTTTAGAGTTAAGCATTTAAAATCATATATTAATATTCATTCCTCTTTTGACATGACTATAAGCTTCACACCACAGATTTTGGTGTTGTCTTCCCGTTTTTCTTCAGTTTAAATAAGTTATAATGTTTCTTGTGGTCACATACATGCTCTGAGTGATTTCAACCCCTTCCTGCTTATTGAGGCTTTTTAATAGTTCATCCTGCAGTGAGGATCTCCGATGAGTGTTTCATGAGCACTTGAAAACAGTGTGTAGTCTGCGGCTGTTTAGTGCAGTGCTCTACAGGTCACTTGGGTCATGCTGGTTGGTTCTATTGAGATGAAGTGTCTCTTGTTTCCCAGGCTAGAGTGCAATGGCACGATCTCGGCTCACTGCAACCTCTGCCTCCCAGCTTCAAGTGATTCTCCTGCCTTAGCCTCCCCAAGTGCTGGGATTGCAGGTGTGAGCCACCATAATCGGCCTGGTAGTATTATCAAAATATTCCATAAACTTACTGATTTTCTATTTTCTATGTAACTAAGAGAGAAATGTTTAAAATTTGTTATAGATTTATCCCTCCTATCGGATTTTGCATCATGTGTTTTGGAACTGTGATCAGGTGAATACACACTTAGAATGATGCTTTTTTGAAGTGACTGATCCCTTTATTGTTTATATATATATATATGCATTTTGTTATCTCTGGTAATAGCCCAAGAGTAGACCTGAAGCCTGCTTGTGTGTGTTAATATAGCCACTTCAGCTTTATGACCGTGGTATGCATAAATTTCCATTCTTTTATTTTTCATTATTTTTGTGTCGCCCAGGCTGGAGTGCCATGGTGCAATCTTAGTTCACTGCAACCTCCACCTCCCAGATTTTTCTATTAAGTCAATTAAGAATAAGAGAAGATTTTATTTTACCTTCACTTATTCCTCTCTGACGCGGTCCCTTTTTTACATACATTTTACTTTCTTATGTATATAATATTCCTTCTCCCTGACAAACTTTTATTATTTCTCAAAGGGGAGATGTACTGGCAATTAATTCTCTTAAAAAAATTCTTTACTTTAAGAAGTTTTTTGTTTCTGTTTTGAGACAAGAGTCTCTCTGTCGCCCAGGCTGGAGTACAGTGGCATGATCATCTTGGCTCACTGCAACCTCTGCCTCCCAGGCTCAAGCAATTCTCCTGCCTCAGCCTCCTGAGTAGCTGGGACTACAGGTGCCCACCACAATGCTCAGCTAATTTTGATATTTTCTTTTAGTAGAGACGGGGTTTCACCATGTTGCCCAGTGTGGCCTTGAACTCCTGAGCTCAGGCAATCCCTACTCACCTCAGCCTCTCAAAGTGCTATGATTATAGGTGTGAGCCACTAAGCCAGGCCTTATTCTTTCTTTTGAGTCTCGCTGTCTCCCAGGTTGGAGTGCAGTGGAGCCATCTCCGTTGACCGCAGCCTCCGCGGTCCAGGTTCAAGCGATTCTCCTGCCCCAGCCCCTCACGAAGCTGAGGCTACAGGCACATGCCACCATGCCCAGCTAATTTTTTGTATTTTTAGGAGACGCAGGGTTTCGCCATGTTGGCCAGACTGGTCTTGAACTCCTGACCTCAGGTGATCCACCCACCTCAGCCTCAGAAAGTGCTAGGATTACAGGCATGAGCCATTGTGCCCAAAGTCCATTCTTTTATTTTTAACCTATCTGTGTTTCTACATTGAAACTGTATTTCTTGCAGATAACATAATAAGGTCATTATCCATTCTGACAGTCTCTACCTTTTTACTCGTTTAGTCTATTTGCCCAATAATTATTAATATGATTGTGTCAGGTCTACCAATTTTCTTTTTCTGTATTTTTCTCATCTTTTTTATTTTCCTGATTTTTTGGGGACTAATTTTTATATTCTAATTTATCAATGCTGTTAGCTTTGAGCCAATTACATTTTTTTTTTTTTTTTGAGATGGAGTTTCGCTCGTTACCCAGGCTGGAGGGCAATGGCGCGATCTCGGCTCACCGCAACCTCCACCTCCTGGGTTCAGGCAATTCTCCTGCCTCAGCCTCCTGAGTAGCTGGGATTACAGGCACACGCCACCATACCCAGCTAATTTTTGTATTTTTAGTAGAGACGGGGTTTCACCATGTTGACCAAGATGGTCTCGATCTCTTGACCTCGTGATCCACCCGCCTCAGCCTCCCAAAGTGCTGGGATTACAGGCGTGAGTGAGCTGCTGCGCCCGGCCCTGTTTTTTTTAAAAGTGGTTTCTCCGGAGTTTAGACCAAGCACCATTAACTCAGCAGTCTTCGTTTAAGTAACATGGAATCACTTCACGTAACATGCGAAGTTTAACACCTGAATGCTTCATCTTCATGTCCTTTGTGCTATCCTTATTAACTTTATTTCTATGTTATATATTATTTTTTTTCCTAAATCATCAGCTATCTTTGAAAGAAATTAAAAAGTATTTTAATCAACATGTTTGCCATTTGCAGTGCTTTCCATTCCTTAAGGTGTTGGGTTTCTATCTGCAAGCCTTTTCTTTTAATCTAAAGAACTTCATATAATCTTTCTTACAGTACAGATATGGTGGTGATAAATCCTCTTGCCTAAAAATATCTTTATTTTGTCTTAAGTATTCTCTTTTTTTTGAGATGGAATCTTGCTCTTATGCCCAGGCTGAAGTGCAGTGGCATCATCTTGGCTCACCACAACCTCGCCTCCCAGGTTTAAGCGATGATTCTCTGCCTCAGCCTCCTGAGTAGCTGGGGCCACAGGTATGTGTCACCATTCCAGGCTAATTTTTGTATTATCAGTAGAGACAAGGTTTTACTATGTTGGCCAGGCTGGTCTCAAACCTCCCAAAGTGCTGGGATTACAGGCGTGAGCCACCACAAGTGGCTGAAGTACTCATTTTTAAAAAGATATTTGTGCTGAACACAGAATTCTAGGCTAATAGCTTTATTCTTTCAGTACTTTAAAAAAATGTCATTCCCTTATAGGTTATATTATTTCTTTCTTTCTTTTTTTTTTTTTTTTTTTGAGACAGAGTCTCGCTCCGTTGCCCAGGCTGGAGTGCAGTGGTGCAATCTTGGCTCACTGTAACCTCCCAGGTTCAAGTGATTCTCCTGCTTCAGCCTCCCAAGTAGCTGGGATCACAGGCACGCACCACCACACTCAGATAATTTTTGTATTTTTAGTAGAGATGGGGTTTTGTCATGCGGGCCCTGCTGGTCTAGAACTCATGACTTTAAGTGATCTGCCAGCTTTGGCCTCCCAGAGTGCTGGGATTACAGGCATGAGCCACCACGCCTGGCCAGTTACATTACTTCTAATGACAAGTCAGTGCTCACCTTTAATCCCCTGAATGTCATGAATGTGTTTGTTAGAGCTACTTTTTCTCCCCCTTTTCTTGAGATAGGGTCTGACTCTGTCACCCAGGCTGGAGTGCAGTGGCACAAACACAGCTCACCACAGCCTTTCCCTCTCAGGCTGAGGTGATCCTCCTACCTCAGCCTCTCAAGTAGCTGTGACCATAGGCAACCCCCACCAGGCTGGGCTAATTTTGTAAAGAAAGGGCTTTGCCATGTTGCTCTTGAACTGGTCTTGAATTCCTGGGCTGAGGCCCAGGAATCCAGCCATCTTGGCCTCCCAAAGTGCCAGGGTTACAGGCATGAGCCACCACACCACACCTACTCTGGTTAGTTTTAAGAGCTTTCTGTTTAACTGTGGTTTTTACCTATTTGCTCATGACGCGCTTTGGTGTGCTTTTCTCTGTTATTTGTTCTGCTTGTTGTTTCCGCAGCAGTTTCTGGGAGCTTGTTACGACGCGTCCTGGTGCAGTTTTCTTTGTATTTATATTGCCTGGTGTATGCTGAGTTTCTTGCATCTGTGCCCTCATCACTTTGCTGAAAATTGGACAGTTCCCAGACACTAGTCTTTCTTTTTTGCTTTCTTCTCTGTGAATGTAATGGTCTGTATTTTAGACTGCTACAGCATACCAAAGGGTACCGAGGCATGTTCAGTTCCTTGCTGTTGTTGAGCTTTGTCCTTACTGTGCTTCCACCACTGACCCTTTTCCTCTGCAGTATATAATGTGCTGTCAGGCTTATCATGAAAACCTCTTATTTCACTTATATTTTAATCTTTAGAAGCTCCACTTGGTTATCTGTTATATCTTCCATTTATCTTATACTCATGCTTTCCTTTAAGTAATATTAAAAGAGTTCTTCTTTGGGCCGGGCGCGGTGGCTCAAGCCTGTAATCCCAGCACTTTGGGAGGCCGAGGTGGGTGGATCACGAGGTCAAGAGATCAAGACAGTCCTGGTCAACACGGTGAAACCCCGTCTCTACTAAAAATACAAAAAATTAGCTGGGCATGGTGGCGCGTGCCTGTAATCCCAGCTACTCGGGAGGCTGAGGCAGGAGAATTGCCTGAACCCAGGAGGCAGAGGTTGCGGTGAGCCGAGATGGCGCCATTGTGCTCCAGCCTGGGTAACAAGAGTGAAACTCCGTCTCAAAAAAAAAAAAGAGTTGTTCTTTGCCAATTCTACCGTCTCTGTCATTTCTGGATCTGTTTTTATTGCCTGATTTTTCTTCTGTACAATTTTTGCTTCTTTGATGCCACACAATTTTTATTAGATATCAGATATTGTGAATGTTATACTATAAATGCCTGAATCATCTTTTTTGAGACAGGGTTTTACTCTGTCACCAAGGCTTGAGCAGAGTAATATGATCACAGCTTACTGCAGACTCAACCTCTTGGGCTCAGGTGAGAGGACCAACAGGCACATTCCAGCAGACCTGACTAATTTTCCTATTTTGTGCAGAGACAGGGTTTCACCACGTTGCCCAGCCTGGTCTTGAGGTCCTGAGCTCAATCCTCTGCCTGCCTCAACCTCCCACAGGGCTAGGATTACAGATGTGAGCCACTGTGCCTGGCCTGGATATTTCTGAAATGGGTCACCTACATGGCCACTGGCAGTCCTTGGTTCCTTCCTTGGCAGCTTTCCCTACAAGGCTGCTTGAGTGTTCTCTTGACATGGCAGATGGCTTCCTCCAGAGTAAGTAATTTGAGAAAAGGCAAGGTGGGGGCCACGTCTTTTATGACCTAGTCTTAGAAATCACACAGTTTGTACAATGTCCTATTGGACACACAGGGAAAACCCTGTTCAATGCAGGAGGGGACAAAAAAAGTTGTGAATACCAGGAGGCAAGAATCACTGGGGCCATTATGAAGCCCAGTGGACACAATGAGTAAACTTTCACTACATATAAATAAGGAAATGACGGAAAAATAATAATTTTGCTTCTGAAAAAATTTTCTAAATAAATTTATATACACATATATATATATCTTCAAATTCCCATGTTATTTGATTCTGCCAAAAAAGGAATTTCCAGTTTTATAGGTCATGTTACATACTCCATAGCCTGGAAAGGGAAGATACTTATTTAGTAAGTTGGAGAGTATAAATGAATTTCTTACCAACCACCATCAGTGTGAACTCAAAACCTTTTTTCACTGATTTTCGGTGAACTTGATTGGGGAGATTTGCAAATCCAACATAGCCAGGAGTTTCTGGATTTATAAACTGAGCTGGTTGTTGCTAAATAAGATTGAAAAAAAAACAAACAAACAACTAATAAGCATCTTAGCAGTTGCTTTTAAGATATAATCATTTAGACATGAAACAAACATAGGTGTCAGCAGTTTTCACAAATTTAACATATGGATAAATTAACAATTCTATAAAGTCATACTTCTATCAGAAAACCAGCAGCATTCAATTAGAAGCATTAGAAAAAGAAACACTAATGTGTAACTCCTTAGCTATATGCTGATTGAAAATTAACATTTTGTTAATCAGTATCCTGTTTGGCAATTTAATTCATAGTAGATACATGTTTAATTCATCTTAGTGCAATTTCAGATTTTGACCTGAGAGACTATCTGTGAAGTTCCAGGAATATCAGTCCAGCTTACCAAGGTGCTACAGCTGACAGTGCTTTGAATGAATGAATGATTTCATTCAACAAACTTGGCTAAAGAATAGCTTCCACCAGTATTAGGTGAGATCCATTAATGGAAAGTATCCAGGAGAAAGGCACCTCTCTCGCTATACTTCTAGCTCTATAGAAAAGTTTCACCAACGGTGAGGCAGGCAAATTAAAGGTGGGATGTTGAGTATTTAGCTTCAAAGACCAAGAAAGAAAAAACAGAAAGAGAAGATGACAGCTGACTACACTGAAGCATCAGCATTCCTTGATAGGAGGGTATGTGATGAGAGAGGACAGCAGTGTCAGAAGACAAGAACAGCAGAAGTGAAATCACAACGCAGACGGGGCTACTGAGAATGAGAATGAGAAGAAATTAATCCATTTATTAATTTCAAAAAAGGCAAGATATAAAATAATATTTCCTTTAAGATTACATTTTGTAAATGTACATTCACATGCACACACAGGTGAAAAATAATATATGTAACATACTAACAGTGGTTGTTTCTGAGTGGTGAAATGACTAATTATTTGTTTTGTTTTGCTTATCCATGTTCCACGCTAGCACTTGCATAAAATGCAAAAACTGGTATAATTTTGTGTTGAATAGTTATGAACACCCACAGGACTAAAGATTAAAAAAACAGAGAAATTATTATCTTGCAATGTTCACCACGAGTTCTGCTTTTCTCAGAACATGTTCTATAGAACTCATTTATCTCTTAGCTAACTTGCAAGGGCTGATTTTAAACCAATCACGTCTAAGAGCCCCATCAATTTCATAATAATAAATTATTAGAATTCTAAATTATCTGGGCTGCTGGGAATTCACTAAGGGGTTAAAAGGACTGTTACTGATGTGTGTAGTAAAAAGAGAAGCGTGAAAAAAGAGAAAGCTCCAACTTTTTAAGATGACAATTAGGCCAGGCTCAGTGGCTCAAGCCTGTAATCCCAGCATTTTGGGAGGGTGAGGCGAGCAGATCACAAGGTCAGGAGATCGAGACCATCTTGGCCAACATGGTGAAACCCTGCCTCTACTAAAATACAAAAAATTAGCCAAGTGCAGTGGCACGTAGTCCCAGCTACTCAGGAAGCTGAGGCAAGAGAATCAATCGATTGAACCCGGGAATCGGATGTTGCCGTGAGCCAAGATGGCGACTTCGTCTCAAAAAAAAAAAAAAAAGATGACAATCAAATTAGAACTGTTTGTCTTAATGAATCAAATACATCAGTTGTATTAAAAATACTCATATGAATCCTGACTGTCAGCAGTCTGAAAACATAAAGCAACTTCTCCTTATGCTGCAGATACACGAAGTACGATCTTACCTTAGACATCTTTTGTGAAGTTTCGTCTGTCAAAAAAAAACACACAGACACACATAAACGAACATACATAGTATGTATGTATCCGCACGCATATTTAACAGCATGAACTGACTGTAAAAAGACTTACACATAGGCAACGTAAAAAGAAAATCCAATTTCAGGACCTTCCAAATTTATTATGCCAAAGGGAAAAGTTAAGCGCTGAAAGCTGATGCATGTAATATGACTACTTTTATTCTTTCTGACTTTTATGTTTAGATTTTATGCATTAAGCAGACTCCCTATTCTTTATTCAAACCTAGCCTAAATGACTAGGCGATAGAGATCCTTATGACTGTTACTTCTTTTCAAAAGAAAGTTAAACAAACCCCTTCCAGTGTAATCAACAGTAGCCAATCAAATTTGTATCTTTAAGTGAGCCTTAGGACAGAAAATGTAATTCTGTTTGGCACCTCCATTTTGCCTAGATAGACAGTTCTCATTTTTCCCCACCCCAGGAGCACTAATCACCATTCTTTGGTGTAGTTCTTTTCCCTGGACAGCAGCCTTCACACTTTGAACTTAAATGAATTATTTTAACTGAATCAGGAGCCTTTTGATTATTTTAGATGACAGCATCTCAATTACTTCAAATATTTCCCTAGGAATAAAACAAGCATCTACTACTACAAAAGTAAACTTGATTTAAAAAATGAGGCCGGATGCAGTACTCACACCTGTAATCCCAGCACTTTGGGAGGCCGAGGCCAGCATGGTGAAATCCCATCTCCATTAAAAATACAAAAATTAGCCAGGCATGGTGGTGCACGCCTGTGATCCCAGCTACTCAGGAGACTGAGGCAGGAGAATCGCTTGAACCTGGGAGGCAGAGATTGCAGTGAGCTGAGATCACTCCAACCTGGGAGACAGAGTGAGACTTCATCTCAAAAAACAAAATAAAACAAATGGTGGCTGGGTGCAATGGCTCATGCCTGTAATTCCAGCACTTTGGGAAGCAGAGGCAGGAGGACTGCTGGAAGCCAGGAATTTGACACCAGTCTGGGAAACATAGCAAAAACCTGTCTCTACGAAAAAATTTTAAAATTTTCAAAAATTTTAAGTTGATAAAAGCAACTGTATATATACACGTACATACATATTCCATATTTTCAATAATATTCAAATACTTTTTTTCAGTATTGATATGTTAGACCCTAGGGACACACATGGGATGCTCACTTCCCTGACCTCTAGAATTATGTAATTCCCCTTCTCTCTTTGAACCCTTTCGAAGAGGAAGGGATGCCGTTACTCAGAGCACTGTACCTTAACACGTCTGCCATTCATTGAGATTCCTAGAGCTCCGTGAGAACTAGGTCTCGACACTGGGGTACAGGGTACAATGTGAACTGCATTTATGAGGAAGGGAAATAGGACTGAAGGCATCTGAGTGTTTGAGAAATGTGCCAATAGTTTGAGAGATGTGGAATTTTCATAGAAATTTTAGAAACCATGAAGCTTTGGAAAGCATGGAGCCTGTCGGCTAACTTTCAGTAACAACACCAGGAAAGATAATTGACCACTGTTAAATTTCATTCCCTCTGGAGCTTAGAAACTTATTAAAAAGCTTCTCTCACTTTGCCTCTTGATTCCCATCCCCCAAATGTTAACTTCCTGAATACTGTGCACTCTGTGTTTCCCTTTTGACTGGAAATGTTCCCCACTACCTTGGAAGAAATGAGATCCCTGAATCCTCAACGGTATTTGGCTTGGTTAACCAAGGGATGGTAGCAGTAAGATTCATGAGCCTTTAACCTCAGCAAAACCTAAGAGCTGAGGTCAAGTGGGAGTGTGGAGGAGTAGAACTTCCTAAAGGGAAAGAGAAGGGTCAGACGGAATACAGACACTTTTGGCAGAAGAATTTGGCATCCTGTTTTCAAATAATACAGAGATAGGCATCTGATTATGGAAGTAAAAAAAAAAAGGTAATAAATAAAATAACAAGGAAATTTTCCAAATTAAGAGAAAAATATGAAGAAAACAGAAACTTCATCAAACCAGCAAAAATACAGAAAAGGAACAAGAAGAAACAAAATCAGTTGTAATCCTAAATCAAGACAACAGGGACAAAATTTAAGAATATCAGTCATCAATATAAATGGGAAATAACCAAATTCTCTGCTTGAAAGATTGGGCTAAAAAAACCCCAAAAACCAAAAAACAGTCCTGCTCTAATGTATGCGGAAGAAGTATGCGTTAAACAAAGGAACAAACAAAGGTAGAAGACAGCAGGCTGGAGCCAACACAGAGGAGAGACAGCACTCCTATCAGCCAAGACAGGCATCAAAGTAAAAAGAACTAAGCAGAGTAACAGGACAACAAATTACGATGATGAAAGAAACGATTTATAGGGAAGATATAATATTCAAATAATCACTGTAAATAAAGCGAGAACTAGGAAAAATACAAAGAAAAATACAATTCAATCGAGAAACTTTCATAGATGTCTCTGAGAATGGAACACATTCAGTAAAAACAATATGTGCAAGGACAGAGAAGAACTGAGAGATACAACCAATAAATTTGATTTAGCAGACAGAGAGAAACTTCAATCAATAAGGAGAAAACTTTTAAAAAAGAGTTTAAAAGTCATGTATCTACCATAAAAAAAGCCTCATCAAAATTTGAAAATTGAAAAGCATTTTTACAGTCAGTGTTCTTAAATAATGATATGCTTAAATGGGGGGGAGATGCAAACTCCCAGTAATCTGTTACACTACACGATATCCCCTGGATCAAGATGGGCAACAAAAGCAAAGCCAGAAGCAATCTCTAGAAGGAATGGAAACAAGATAAAAGCAAAACTTATGAGATACAGTAAAAGCTTCACAAACTCAGTTGACAATTTGAGTTTCACGATTTTCACTATTAAAGAACACTGAAAATAAATAAGTTTGATATTCAACAATATTAGAAAATGAACAAAATAACTCAAAACAGGAAATCGATAAAGAGAAAAAATGAATTATGAGGGGGAAAAAAGGGCAAACAAAACTGAAAGCCGTTTTTTGTTTTTTTGAGACGAAGTTTTGCTCTTGTCACCCAGGCTGTAGCGCACTGGCGTGATCTCAGCTCACTGCAATGTCTGCCTCCTGGATTCAAGCAATGCTCCTGCCTCAGCCTCCTGAGTAGCTGGGATTACAGGTATCCAGCACCACGCCCAGCTAATTTTTGCATTTTTAGTAGACATGGGGTTTCACCATCTTGGCCAGGTGAAATCTCCTGACCTCAAGTGATCCACCTGCCTTGACCTCCCAAAGTGCTGGGATTACAGGTGTGAGCCACCATGCCTGGCCTCAGAAGCTAGTTTTCTAAAACAAATTCTTCACAAGCCCAATTCAGGAAAAAAAAATAGCAAATATAGAGAAGTAGCTAAAATAATGACAGAGGAGTCTACATGTAGCAAAATGGCCACAAATCTGAAAATATAGAAAAAATGGGCACTGTAAATTACCAGTACAGAATCAGAAACTGGAAAATCTGACTAAAACAAATATCACTAAGCAGCTGATTAAAGACATACCAATGAAAAGGACCAAGACTTGACGTTAGAGTTGAACTCCATCCAACCCTGGACAAGACCAAAGTAATTTAACTGTTTCAAGCCTCCACAGAAAAAATGGAAAAAAACTGTTTTATGAAGACAGCACAGTTTTAATAACAAGCTCAGATGGAGAAAGAAATGAAGGAATAAATGAGTATCATAGGTCAATTTCACTCACAAATATAAATGCAAAAATCCTGAATAAAATATTTGCTAGCAATTAGATTCCAGGAATGTATCAAAAGCATCTATCCAATAGTAAGCCAACAACGCATTACAGGGAAAAAATCATGCATTCATAGATGCTGATGAAGCATATGAAACTCAGCAACCAATTCTAATGAAAACACTAAGAAAACTGCTGGAGGGCTGTGGTGGCTCATGCCTATAATCCCAGCACGTTGGGAAGCTGAGGCAGGAGGAATGCTTGAACTCAGGAGTTCAAGACCAGCCTGGGCAACACGGCAAATCACTGTCTCTACGGAAAAACACAAAAACATTAGCTGGGTGTGGTGGAGGACACCTGTACTCCCAGCTAAGTGAGAGACTGAGGTGGGAGGGTCCCTTGAGCCCAGGAGGTGAAGGGTGTAGTAAGTCGAAATGGCACCACTGTGAGACTGTCTCAAAAAAACAAAAAAAAAGAAAGACTCCTTAAATCTAATTCAGAATATTTCTGTCTGAAAGCCTATGGCAAACGCTATTCTCTAAACAATGGAAAATTAAATCTATTTAAATTACAACTGATAATTAGGCAGGAATGCCCCTCCATAATGATTTTAAAACACTTACATGAAAACTTATACTTGAAGACCTATACAAAAGCGAACCAAACCCCCATGTGCCGTTCATTATCCAGCTTCAACAATTAGCAAGTCAAGGTCAATAACGTTTCCTCTATTCCCACAATCATCATTGCCACTGCCTGGATGATTATGAAGCACATACTAGTGACTAGCATCTACGCATATCTAAGAATAAGGGCTCCTACAGATGACAAACCATTGTCCATAGCTAGTTCCCTAATGCAATCAAAGAACCAATCAGTATTCATATTCTCCACTCTCTCACTTCCTTGAATCAAGATCCAGGTAAGACCTACATACTGCAATTTCACCAAGATTATTTAATACTTCCCTGGTGAGTTCGCGGAATATAATCAGACAAGCAAATGAAAACAAAAAGCTTTTTGCTGATTGGACTGAAAACACAGAAAATACAAATACTCTGGCTAAAAGAATTCTAGAACAAGGTAATTTAGTAAGGTAGCTTAATATGAGATTTCAAGTAAGACAAGTACTAGCACTGAATGCTGAGGAATAGAAATGGAGGCACATCACTTACAACAGAATTTTTAAAAATCCAGGAGCTGGGCTCGGCGGCTCCTGCCTGTAATCCCAGCACTTTGGGAGGCGGAGCATTTGAGTTCAGGAGTTGAAGAGCAGCCTGGCCAACATGGAGAAACCCCATCTCTACTAAAAATACAAAGTTAGCCAGGCGTGGTGGCACGTGCCTGTAGTCCCAGCTACTTGGGAGGCTGACACAAGAGAAAGCACGTGACCCCAGGAGGCGGAGGCTGTGTTGAGTCAATAGCAGGCCACTGCACTCTAGCTTGGGCAACAAGAGCAAAACCCTTTGTCAAAAAAAAAAAAAAAAATCCAAACAAGTACGGACCAAACTAGAAGAGAGAAAACAGGTCCTACATAAATCAAATCCTTTTCATTTTTCCCAAATTAGCACATAATTTGATCCATTTCTAAGTGGAATCCCTAATGTGGCTTTTTCCTTAAAGGACTGGATAAAACGAGCCTCAGGTTCACACGGAAGCATAAACGCCAATGCCGAGGATAGAAAAGAGCAGGCGCTTGCCTTACCACCCATTACATGTATCTGATTTCAAACCCACACAGTACAACATAGGAATACCAGAGAGCGCCGCCTAGGCCCCTCAGCCTCACTGAACCCTGAGCACACAGAGGGGGGAAAACAGAGAGACCATCTGTCATTCGAAACTGACATTTCAACTTTGCTTTGATTTTACCAAGTTTCTCCTGCCATCTCCTACTTTTTTTTTCTGAAACATAACATGGATCCACAATTATTTTCTCTCATAATTTATTAACTAATGTGAAATGGAAGGTGAAATAGGAATAATGAACTTCTGAAGCACATGGTTTTCAGTGAGAAAGACTTGATGTAGCAACACAAACTGTCAAGCACTGTGATTAAACTTAAACACTGGGTGCAGACGAACTGGGTCAAAAACGAAGTCAAATGAAAACTTTATTCCTTCAGATCGTGTTTATTCCACATGCCAGAAGTTGTTTAAAGCTCTTTAATCTTGACCCACAACTTATTTCTTCCACAGAATAGTCCCATCCCAATACATTAAAAAAAAAAAAATTTCCCAAAACAAAAGAGAAGATGAAAAACATCCTTCGATGTAGAACCCTGAAAGTCCGTGATCTCTTATGCAAAGCATTTGGATTCTTTGGGTTTGAGGAAGGTATATGTTCAGAATAACCAGGGAACGCTCTTACCAGGGGCTGGGGCACGTACGACCACTAACAGAAAGTGGGGTAGAGTATACACATGTCCACGCCTCAATTCTGCTGCCAAATGAGTTTTGGTGTGCCTCTTCCTCCAGGAAAAAAAAAAAAAAAAAAGTACCCATAACTTTTTCTTTTACAGCAGTTTCTCTGGTATTGGGAACAAAAAGGGACCCCGAATTACATTTATGAATGATAGGAGAACCCCTGGCCTCTTTCCCTAGATCACCTTGCTAGTTTAGGAGCCAGTCAGAATGTCAATCTGATCTAATTAAAATGCTTTTGTTCTTTATTCTGCACTGGTGAGAGAGATCAAGGTGGAAGTTGGGAAAAAAAAAAAAAAAAAATCAGGACCAGCTTTACAGCTACTGAGATCAATGCCAAGATTAGACACAATAGTACACATCACGAACTAGGATGCTAGGTGGTGCAGAGAATAACTTAATGGGAGCTATCAAAAATAAACGAAACCAATGAAGCTCAAATCCTAAGTATCGAGTATCAGCTTTCACGACTCCTACACCCTATTTTTCTTTATGACAGCAAAGCTACTTGAAACATTGTATCGGCAGGCATTATGATTCGAGTCATTAGAAAAATAGTGGAGAACCTACTAGGTGATGTCACCGACCTAGGCAAGGTGTATGGGTGACAAGATTGACACGTGCCCTGCCCCTCGCAGGACCATCCGGAACATCATCAGGCAAACACCCAAGCCAGTCCGGAGGAAATCTAACTTGGGCGGAATCCCACAAGCAGGGACTAGGTAAGGGGAAGGCGGGGAAGGTGGGAGGCATGCAGACTTAAGGAAGGGTTTGGGCAATGGCCAAACATGAAGAAGTCGGAACCACAAGTTCAGTGTAGCTGGGTGATGTGTTTGTGCGGAGAGAGGACGGGGTCTGGCAGTACTGACAAGAATTAGGCCAAAAAGGTAAAAGCAAGCCAGGTGTTGTCCGGGCCTTAGGCCACGTCACAGCTGGAACTTCACTGAGACCGCGGAGACCACAGCTTTGCATTCTCATGCCCCGCCCAACTCAGCGGCCTCCCGCCCTGTACCCTACCCCCCCTGCTGTCTGTCCGTGCCTCTCCACGCCGAAGGTACTAGCAGGCAAGGCCTAGTGGCTCCCTCCCCGCTTACTACTCGCTGTGTCCAGCCGAAGGGCCTGGAGGATTCGGGGCTGGCCCGTCCTCCACGCCTCCCGGAGGAAACGGCACCGTTAGAAAGACAAGATGGCCACACAAGCTGTTAAGTGTTGGTCGGGCCTGAACCTGCAACCTCCCTCCGTGCCTCAAACCTCCCGGCCTCGACGGCACTGGACGCCCCGAGGCCCAGTACCAACGACCGTGCGGTGGAATTCCCGCAGGGTCACCACGGGGTCCCCGGGATCCCCACTCCCGCGCCCAGCTCTGCCGTGTCGGAACCACTTGTTGCCGGCATTAGGGCCGCCCCGGATGGAGGAGCCCAGGATGGGGACCGCAGAGCCCGGCCCGGCCGCCCCTCCCCCATCACTCCCCGCCGGCGCCCCAGAGAAGGCCGACCACTGCGGGACGGTATGGGACGAACGGGGCGTCTCCCGCACCTCCTAGGTGGGGGCTGACCCACAACTTGTGCCCCCGCCGCGGCGGGGAACACCGGCTAGAGACTCACCCGCCAACCAGCGAGAAAACAGACGCCGACAGACCGCGCCACGGACCCGCCCAGCGCCCGCGGCCGGCTCACACCCTGCCCCGCCCAGCGCGCAGGCAGATTACGTCACGCGTCTCCCCGCCCCTTTGCCAACTCCTTCCTGGCTCCGCGCGGTTCGGCCTTCTTCCCCTCCCCCGTGCGGCCGGCTTCCGAGCGCGCAGGCCCAGCCTCGTCCGCGTTGTCCGCCTCTGCGCAAGCGCCGTGCTCCTCCCACGGCGGTTGGCCATATAGAGGCTGGGGGTGGGGGGAGGTCAAGCGTACTCTCTTCTCCTTTACCAAGATGGCGGCTTGTCCCTGTTTCGCCACAGTTCCTACCTTATGAGCTTGGTTTTCCTATGCTAATAAGAGTGGAACAGGTAATGAGTATCTTCGCCTTGCAGTGAGTAACTGGACTGGGGGGAAGGGCGTTTGTTAGAAGGAGCCGGGTGCCCACTGAGGAGGAGAGAGGCGGTCGGGGGAGGGCAGGTGGTGGCGGGAGTGCGGAGCGATCACTGGGAGGGGGAGCCTTCGCTTCTGCTCCAGTCCTCCAGGAAGATGGCGGCAGCACCGAGCCGGGGAGCCAAGCCGACTGGGCGGAGGACGGCAAGCGGCCGCGCGAGGCTGGTCTAGCCCACTGCCGCCGCCGTCTCGATGGTCGGGGGCCTCTCCGGGATTGGCTGCATGCAGGCCACGTGGGGTCGACGGCCCTGCGCAGACCATCGAGTCGGCGTCCCTCCCCGGGGACGTGGCCTTCCTGTGCCCGGGCTGGGGCCCGCCGCCCCGCGGGGGAGGGCGGAGCTGGCGCGGCCCCTAGCTTTCTCCTTCTGGTGTGGGGCCCGAGGTGAGACCTGGGGAGTGCTCCGCGAGCCTACGAGCAGCGACGCGGCTCGGGGACGGGAGGGTGCCGTTCCTGGCTGCGGCCTGAGCGGGATAGGCGCGGGCGACTCCGGCCCGCGGGTCGTGCCCCGGCCCGGGGTGTCTTTTCCTCCCTCCCGCGTGGCCTGGAGGCTCAGCAACTGTCCGAGACTCACACCAAGACTCGGCGCAAAGACCCCTCGTTCAGGAAGCCTTCCTAGGTTTCTCCCCTTTAAGGGAAGTACTTCCTGAGTTCCTAATGGCTGACCCGCCTGGTGCTGGGAACCTGAGCTGTTCTGACACCGTGGCATGTTGCGAGGGTATTTTTGTACGAGGCTCCTTTGAAAAGTGGTAAGGGGCTCAGGTCTGGCTGCTGCGTATCCTCTCCATTCCGCTTAGGAAATGAGAGGTCAGGCTTGACATGGTGTTTGGACGCCATGTAAAACCAAAGGAAGTCGACTTGGGCTTTGCTTTATTGAACAGTGCTTCTAGTCAAAGGAGACGTTTGCAGGACTGTGGATGAGTCGTCATCTCGAGGAACATGACGATTTGCCCCTCCGTTGTGCATTTTGCTGTGTATCCTCAGATTCGTAGCTATCCTACACCCTCAGCCTCAAGCAGTGACTTCACGTTTATTTGATGTCTGCTTAAGAATAATCAGTCATTTTGTTAGCAGGTTACTTCCTTAAAACCCAATTAAGATAGGATAAGTCACAATTAGGATTTTGTCTGAAGCTCCTGGTAGTGGCACCTTGCATAATAAGCTTACTGTTCATTTAGGGAAGCAAATCTGGGTTGCTGAAAAACTGGATGAAACTTAGTGCTTAGATTTATATTTTGATTTTTTTTTTTTTGACAGCTGGAAGTGCCCCTAGGCTAAATTCATTAAGTACACATGATATTAGGATACTTGGCAGCAGTATTTAAAAATAATTGAAAAGGTGTTTGGTTAAGAATTATTTCCATCATTTGAATTATCAAATCTCTGGGTCTGAATTGTCAACCTATTAAGAGTTTTAGACTTGGAGAAAATGGAGCCGGAGCCTATTTCCTCAAGTCTCAGGTACAGCATTTGAAACCCAGTTAAATAATGCATCGTGAGGGTTAAACTTTCCTGTTACTGCTTATTAGGTTCGCTTGGTGCCAAGCGCTGTTGAGGGGACTTAGCTTATCTTATCATGTGTCAAATGAACGTCATTGGGGTAAAAGTACATTGAGTGTAAGGAGAGGACCTCTAAGATGTAGCTGGCCTGTGTCCCGTCCCTCAGCGCCACCAAGCTTCATTGAATCCCTGTTACAGTGTCATCTCCAGTGGGCAAAGCTAACTTCCTAGTGGCCTGGTGGGAGAATTTCTTCTCGAGTAATTAAGTACTTTACCTAGTTTTGTTGTTTTAACCTTCCAGTTGTCTAGCTTCAGCCTCAAGGCCTCACTTCTTCATTTCAATTCAAAAGAATATTTGCTGGAAATTACTGTGCAAGCTTAAGGGCTCTGCAGATACAAAGGTTAAGAGGGTATTGAGTTTTCAGCCAGGCGTGGTAGCTCACGCTTCTAGTTCCAGCACTTTGGGAGACTGTGGCAGGCGGATCACTTGAGGTCAGGAGTTCGAGACCAGGCTGAGCAACATGATGAAACCCCATCTTTACATAAAAATAAAGCCGAGCATGGTGGTGCATGCCTGTAATCCCAGCTACATGCGAGGTTGAGGCACGAAAATTAGTAAGAGTTTTTCCAGGTGGTGAGAGGAGACAGGAAGACTAGGAAAGAGGAGGCTGAGGTTTATAGTTGGTTTCATATGTGGGCAACAGGTTGACAATTTGGTATACTCTTTGCCATTGCAAATGGTAAAGGGCTTGGCTCAGGCTGTGTAGTGAAGGGCGTTTATCTAAGATACTCTGACCCGCACAGAATTTGAGATGATGGCACTGAGTCCACTGGGATAACTTAGGATCTTTCATGGGTCATATGGATTCTCCATTAGTGCATCCCAACTGAAACTTATTTACAGAAAGGATTAAGCAGAGAACATGCTTTAGGAAGTACCAAGTGGTTTTTCTGTTTGGCATGGCCCATTCAGTGTGCATCCATCCCATCGGCAAATGGTGGTAAGAAAGCTTTTCCCTCTTCTGGTAAGCAGTAACCAAGTTCTGGAAGAAGTATGCCACGCAGCTTTCTCAGTTGCCAAATTATGATGACACAAAAGTCCAAAATACATGTAAAGGTTTTTGACCAAGTGGAAAAGCGGAGGACCTCAACCAGCATAATACTTTTTTCCTTAAATTGTAAACACACCACAACATTCAACATTTGGAAACCAAGGAAATAATGAAAAGAACCTTTTTTCATTTGTATGATTTAAAAATTGGTTACATGTTATTCTTCAGTATTTCTAAAGGCAGAGACATGTTAGAAGTGAAATCCGAAGTAGGCTCTTGTTTTACCGAGCACACCGAAGTTCCTCGAATACCAGACACTTGTTCATGTGTTCATGCCGTTGTGTTACTCATCTTGTTGATACTTGCTGTTAATTTGGTAACGATACATTGACTACATACTCTCCCTTACTACTTTTTATTAGCATTCATATTAATCTTATTTCAAATCATGGTTATATCTAAATTATAGAGTCAGATCATCCTAGAAAGGCTTGTAAGGAAAAAGTGCCACTGTCCTTCCCCTAATGGGCTGCCCTCCCCTGCAGAGGATCTGCTTTACTTCAGTCTGTTTCCTTGATCTTCGCCTCCCACTCTGAGGAGCCTATTTTCCTGACAGCTGTATCTGTATCCCCGCCCCCTGTCGAATGTGGCGTCTCTTCACTTGACACTGAGAATAGGTAGGAAGTTCCTAGCTTGCTTTCACCCTCTGCCTTCTCTGTGCAAACAGATCCGTGGCTGCCCAAAGTGATACATTATTAATTTAGTTCAGTATTTTTTTATGGCTACATATTGCCATTCACAGCTGGGCAAAGTGGTACAACAGGATCGTTTTCCCTTTTCTGGATAACTTTGTTTTCCTGGGTTATTACAAGTCTCATTTGTTTTCGTTCGCTTCCTGCTCTCAGTTTTCTATATTTTATCACTACAATTCAACCCCAGATTCTGCACCAGTTGTCTAAATCTCCTTTCAAGAAATTGTCCGTTCTTTTGATGAAAATTAGTATTCCTATCATTTTGTCTTGAATAAATCTCTTCCAACACCTCCAACCTGCTGCAGGCTTGTCTGTGCCCAGAATCTTCCTGTAAATTTCATTACTCCCTCCTGTGTTGGAGGCTCAGTTTTCTGGAACCCAGGTGATTCTCTTGATTTTACTCTCTCACCTTCATGGAGCACATTCTTCACCAGCTGCCTGAGAAGTGCATGGCAGGTGACGCTTTAAGAATGTGAACGTATGAAAGTGCTTTATTCTGCTCTGACATTTGAGTAGGAGTTTGGACAGCATTTTGCTCCACTGTAAGCTTCCAGTGTTGTTGAAGTCTTAAGCTCTTCTGATTCATTTTTCTTTTTATCGATATGTAACATTTTTAGAGCTTTTGTGTGTGACTGTGTTTTCCTCCATGAAGCTTAAAGCTTTCTGTTTCTTTCTTTTGTTTGATACACAGCGTCTTGCTCTGTTGCCCAGGCTGGAGTGCAGTGGCACTGTCACAGTTCACAGTGGCTGTGATCTCCTGGGCTCAAGCGATGCTCTCGCCTTAGCCTCTCAAGTACCTGAGACAGCAGGCATGCAACACTACACCCAGATAATTTATAAAACTTTTTGTAGGCATGAGCTCTCAGTGTCGCCCAGGCTGGTCTTGAACTCCTGACCTCAAGTGATTCTCCTGCCTCAGGCACAGTGCTGGGAGTGAAGGCTTTGCATCTGGCCTCAGAGGCTTTTCTTTCTGTGAAACTCAGAACTCCCAGAACAGTGATGTCTGTTGGAGACTGTTTTCATCCGAAGTCTTGCCTACTGTTTGGTCCCATTTATTTGTAATTCACGTTGTTCGATGCTGGACGTTTTTGTGGATTTATTGCTTTTCTTTCTCTCTCTGGAATTCTTCTCTTGGGCCTTCTGATTAGCACTCATAATTTTCTTGTTTTCTCTTCCCCCGCCCAAGATTTTTTTGTTTTTATCTTTTAAACTGTAAATTGACAAATTATACTTGTACTTTTTGGGGTACAAAGAGATGTTATAATTTATGGATACAATGGAATAAAATCAAGTTAATTAACATAATTCATTGCCTCAGATACTTTTAAGTTTTTTGTGGTGGAAGCATTCGAAATTTACTC